AAGACTAGCACTCTACCACTTGAGCCCTAGCACCACTTTTGGCTTTTTTATTTTCTGCTTATGTGGTACTGTGGAATCAAACCCAGGGCCTCATGCATACAAGGCAAGCGCTCTACCACTGAGTCACCTTCCCAGCCGTAAGCCATGTTTTATATATAGACATGGATCACGGTTTGAAGCCAGCCCAGGCAGGAAATACCTCGAGACTTTTTGTAGGTTCTGGGGCTTGAACTCAGGTCCTAGGGATTGTCTTTGAGCTCTTTCACTCAAGGCTAGCACTTTACCACTTTGAACCATAGCTCCACTTCAGATTTTCTGATGGATAATTGGATATAAGAGTCTCTTGGAGGGCTGAGAATGTGGCTTAGTGGTAGAGTGCTCACCTAGCATACATGGAGACCTGGGTTCAATTCCTTAGTACCACAGAAACAGAAAAAGCTGGAAATGGAACTATGACTCAAGTGGTAGAGTGCTAGCTTTGAGCAAAAGAAGCTCAGCGTCAGTGCCCAGGCCCTGAGTTCAAGCCCCAGAACTGACTCCCTCCTCCCCCCCCCCAAAAAAAAAGGCAATAGACATTGGACTTTTGGAATTTGCTCTCCCTAATTCTACAGTCGAGTTGAAATGAACCTTAAAGGCCAGTTCTGTTTTGCTGGGACTTGAACTCAGAGCCTGGGCACTATCACTTATTTTCTGTGCTCAAGACTAGTGCTCTACCACTGGAGTCACCTCTCTACTTCTGGTTTTTTGCTGGTTAATTGCAGTTAAGACTCTCATAGATTTTCCTACCCAGGATATATTGAAACTGATCCTCAGATCGCAACCTCCTGAGTAGTTTTAGCACCTGGCTAGAACTACTGTTTTGTTTTTACTGTGATCCAGTACACACAGATCAGGCTGAACTGTGGGGAGCTGTAGTGTTTGACTGCTTTTGAATTACAATAGCAACTGCTTATAATCAACAATTTAGGTTTTGGAGTGGTGTGTGTGTGTGTGTGTGTGTGTGTGTGTGTGTGTGTGTGTGTGTGTGTGGTGTGTGTGTGTGTGTGTGTGTGTGTGTGTGTGTGTGTGTGTGTGTGTGTGTGGTGCCTGGTGTAGACCAAACCCAGGAACCTTCATTTGCCAACTCTAGCACTAAGCTATGCTTCAACCCCAGCTCAGTGTATGCGCTTTAACTTTGGTGGTTATGTGCTTTTTAACTTGGTTAAGTGACTAAATTAATGCATGCTCTAATGAGAAGAATTTCTACAAACATTACCTCTTAATACCAATCTTGCTGAGTAGCCCTTAAGTGTATTACTTGTGATTTAACCACCCATATTAACATATATTCTAAGTTCATCACTTTAAAAGCCAAATATAGTATCCATCTGTCCATCCTTTTTTTAGCTGCATCTTTATCAAAAAAGAGAAAAGTGTGCTATTAGGAGAGACAGCCCTAGAAATTTATTTGCATAAAAACAAAAAAGTGAGCCCAGCAGAGTGGTAGCCTATAATCCACCCAGGTAGAAGGATCACATGTTCAGGACTTGCGTAGGCTCTACAATGAGACTATCTAAGAAACTAAAGAGCTCTGTGCTGGCCAGGTGCTGGTGGCTCCAACCTGTAATCCTAGCTACTCAGGCTAAAATCTGAAGATTAAAGCCAGCTCAAGCAGGAAAGTCTATGGAGACTCATCTCCAATAAACCACCAGAAAACCGTAAGTGGCCCTGTGGCTCAAGTGGTAGAGCACTAGCCTTGAGCTGAAGAGCTGAGCAACAGTGCCCAGGCCCAGAGTTCCAGAGTTCAAGTCCTACAACCAACAACAACAACAAAAGATATGCTGTGTGCCGCTAGCTCACGGCCATGGGGCTTGAAGTCTGGGCTTGGGCGTGCAGCTCATGTGACTTTTGTTTTTTTTTGGGTCCGGTTGTGGGGCCTGAACTCTGGGCCTGGGCACTATCCCTCAGCTCTTCAGCTCAAGGCTAGTGCTCTACCACTTGAGCCACAGCGCCACTTCCAGCTTTTTTCTTTTTATACCTCATGCATGCAAGGCAAGCGCTCTACCACTGAGCCACCTTCCCAGCCCCTCACGAGACTCTTATCTCCCATAAACCACTCAGAAAACCAGAAGTGGTGCTGTCTCAAGTGGTAGAGCGCTAGCCTTGAGCTGAATTGCTGAGGGACAGTACCCAGGCCCAGAGTTCAAGACAAAAAAAAAAAAAAGATCTGTATGCTATGACTCCTGCCTATAATCCTAGTTACTCAGGAGGCTGAGATCTGAGAATCACAGTTCAAAGCCAGCCAGGGCAGGAAAGTCCATGAGACTTTTTTTTTTTCTTGCTAGACCTTTTTCATTGGTGCTGGTGCTCTACTATTTGAGTCATGGCTCCATTTCTGGATTTTTGCTGGTTAATTGGAGATAAGTGTTTCAGGGATTTTCCTGCCCAGGCTGGCTTCAACCATGATTCTCAGATCCCAGCTTTTTTTTTTTTTTTTTTTTTTTTTGGTCAATCCTTGGGCTTGAACTCTAGGCCTGGGTGCCATCCACGCGCTCTTCAGCTCAAGGCTAGTGCTCTACTACTTGAACCACAACACCACTTCTGGTTTTCTAGTGGTTTATTGGAGATAAGAGTCTCATGGACTTTCCTGCCCGGACTTTCCTGCCTGGGCTGGCTTTGAACCTCGACCCTCAGATTTCAGCCTCCTGAGTAGCTAGTATTACAGGCGTGAGGCACTGGCCCCTGGCAGATCTCAGCTTTTTGAATAGCTAAGGTTACAGTCAGGAGCCACCTCTATCTGGCTTATGATTACTTTCTAATAAGTTTGATAATAAAAATGACTTGTTTTGATGAATGTTAGATGAAGTACTTTCTTTAGACCTATTTACTTACTCAGTTTTCAAAGCACTTATGACCATAAAACAGCACTTTATTTTTTTATTTTACCCAGGCCCAGAGTTTAGGCCCCACGACCGGACCCCCCCCCCAAAAAAAAAAAAAAAAAAAAAAAAAGAATCTCAAGACTCGGAGGGGATAGTGGTTCAGGAGGCTGAGATCTGAGGATCTGAATTCCAAGCCAACTCAGGCAGGAAAGTTTGTGTGACTCTTATCTCCAGTTTATCCTGGAAAAGCCCGAACTGGCATTGTGGCTCAAGTGGTACAGTGCTAGCATTGAGCAAAAGCTGCTCCTGGATAGTACCCAGGCCCAGAGTTCAAGCCCCAGGACCAGAAAAAAAAAAAGTCTCATAGACTTTCCTGCCTGGGCTGGCTTTTAACCACAATCCTCAGATTTCAGCCTCCTGAGTAGTTAGAATTATAGGGATGAACCTCCAGCACTAGACTATTTAAATTTTTTATTTATTTTGCTGGTCATGGGGCCTGAACTCTGGGCCTGGGTGCTGTCCCTCAGCTCTTCAGCTCAAAGCTAGCAGCCACAGTGCCACTTTTCTGGCCTTTTCTGCTTATGTGGTGCTGAGGAATCAAACCCAGGGCCTCATGCAGGCAAGGCAAGCGCTCTACCACTGAGCCACCTTCCCAGCCCATGTCCTTTAAAAATCATATTTTAGTAAAGCTAGATTGCTTAGTTCTTTTGCTCAAGGCTAGTACTCTACCACGTGAGCCACACCTCCACTTCTGGCTTTTTCCTGTTTCAATGGAGATAAAGAGTCTCAAGGATTTTTCTGTCCTGGCTGGCTTCCAACCACTGTCCTCATATCTCAGCCTCCTAAGTATTACCGGCATGAACCAGCAGTGCCTGGCAACATTCTTTGGGAATCTAGATTTCTACCAACAGAGACCAAACTAGCAATCTCCAGACTACTACTGTGACCTACTCAATAACTACAGGCTTCCTAAGGAGCATATTCTCACTGACTAGATTGATCTGATTTTTAAATTTTTTAGCTTTGGGAAATTTAGGTTTAATGAGCTTGGGTTCTCGAAGTGAGGACCATCCTTGTGGCTTTTCCTGAAAGCCTACAAAGGGACAATAGTGAACTCCAACTTCCAAATTACCTGGAATACAAACTTCCAATTGCCTGGAAGAGATCCGAAGGAATGTAGTTCAGCTTCTATGGAAATACTGCAACTCAGAAAGGCATCTGCTTTGAAGAAATATGCATGACATGAGAAAAGGGTTATCTATCACCTGCTTCTTCTCCTTTGCTCAAGACTTCTCTATTATGGCTTTGTAAACAGTCATGCCTGAGTCCTCCAAGTGTGTCTGCATTTGTTGCAGGGATAGATTTACTCAGACAGGTGGAAGAGTCATGACTTAAAAGCTATAAACAGCTGCAGAAGCCTGGGGTCTGCTTGATCAGCTTGGTAGCAGGGAATGAGGCCATTCCCCCTTACCCGGCATTAACAGGCTTTAGAACCAGACCCTAAATTTGGAGCAACTCACGCACCACCCATTACAGCTAAGTAGTGACATTAAAATGTAAGGCATCTCCAGACGTTTAGAGAGAGATCACTTGGCATGCTTTCTGTTGCTGACTCATAGTGCGCCTGTCTTGGGACTGCTTTGAAACGTTTCCAAATGGGACACACAGTAGGTGCTCAATAAAGGTAGTAGCAGTCATTTTTTTAAACCCTTAGGAAGGGTGCCCTTACTATTCTAGCAAAAAGGTAAGGTTAGTGAGCGCACGTTAACCATGAGAAATCTGCTCTAGGTGTGCCAGTGGTAAGTCCCTCTGAGCGAGACTTTCCTCACGCCAGGTAACTTTCCAGGTGACAGGGAGCACGACGTCTACTAAGCGTTGGATAAAATCACCTCCAGTCCGATCACCCACCAATCATCATCCGAGATTTTGGGGCGGGGGAGGGGAGAACATCCGTATACTTTCTGTCCACGAAGGGGGCGGGCTTAGGTCAAGCCGTGCCCTCCGCAGCCCGTCAAAACGCCGTACGGTGCTTGGCACCGCCGGACACCAATAGGATCAAAATCATTTATTTGAATAGACCAATAGTGTTGGGGAGGGGGCGGGGCTTAAGAGCCCAATAAAGGCAGCGTCGGAGCGAGCAGGCAGGCGGTGGCGGAGGCTCCTGCAGCGGCTGCTGGCTGTGGGTCCGGAGCTTCCCTGCGCCCCTCGGGTCCTGTCTTCTCAGCGTTCGTTTTCCGCGCCAGCCTACCTCGTTCCTTCGGCGCCATGACCACCACGACCACCTTCAAGGGTGTGGATCCCAACAGCAGGAACAGCTCCCGGTGAGGCGCCGGGGGTGAGGCGCGGGGAGCGGAGGCGCCGGGCGGCCCCAGAGCCGGAGGGGGCTGAGGGGCCGGAGGGCGGCTGCGGGCGGGGCGGGGCGGGACGGGCGGGCGGCGCGGGCGGCCGGTGCCGGTCGTTGTCGGTAACGTGCGTGCGGGGCGCGCGGGCGGCCGAGCGCGGCCGCGGGCGGCTTTGTGCCACCGGGTTCGCTGGCTGCGCCGGCCCCGCCCCGATCCCTCGGCTTCCCATTCATTTCCACGGAGCGGGGGCCGGGGGTGGGGGTGGGCCGGGGCCGGCGGGGTGGGTGGGGGGGGACCCCCGTTTTCGGGCAGCGCGGCTGCAGGTTTGGGGTGTAACGCGCGGGAGGGCTCGCTTCCTGCCCAGGGTGGTGGACTTGGTCCCCGGGGCCTGCGGGGCGCCGCGGCCGGGCCCCTTTGTCCCACCCCCGGACCACGCGCTCCTGGCCGTGTGTGGACTCCCGACGGGTGCTGGCCCCGAGCTTGGGCTCAACGATCTGATCCTGCGACGGGATCTGCCCGGTCGGCCTGGCTCCTGCCCCGGCGGTGTCCCCCCCCCCCCTGCCCTGGCCTGCCCGACAGGTGCATCTGTGGTCAGGGGAGGCTGGACATCGCGACGCGCAACTCCCGTCCGGGACCTCACGGTCTTTCTCCTCTCCCGAGTGCCTCTCCTCTCCTAACAAAGGAGAGACCCCCGTCTCCTGCCCCCTCCCGGCGCCCAGCTCCGAGCGCAGGGGGCACCGAGCCAGCCAGTGTGCGGGGTTTCTGCGCTCAGACCTTCCGACCCCGGTCCGTGTATGCCAGCCCCTTGACTTGGGTCTTTGACGTTTGCCAGATGAGTTCATCCCTGGCCCCCCACCCCGTTCCCTTGCAGTGGGAGGTTTCCTGTTCTTGGGCGGGGCCGGGGAAGATATCCATTGTCTCTTCCGTGGTATCTCCATCTGGGAAGGGGGGGGGGGCCCTTCTGGCCATTCATCCCACTGCGTTTTGGGGAGGGGCACTGGACACGCAGTTTGGACCAGGAACCCTTTACGAAACCCTGTCTTAACTTGGTGGAAGGGTTTGGGTTGTGTGGAGGTGGCCACATTGTCTCAGCTAATAGCACCCTGTTCTTTAAGATCTTCTATAGGCATCTCTGGGGTCTTTCCTTAAAGCTTAAAGGAAGCTTAGATTTCACTTTTTGGGAACTGTTGTCCATTGATCAGGATCTGCAGTCTTGTGTGGCTAACCTTGGGGTTAGCACAAAGGGAGCCATTTTGTGGGGCTAAGAAGACAGACGTGAAATAGCAATATCTCACAGGGGTTAGAGAACTTGGAAACAAAAAGCAGCCTCGTCAGAGGAGTCTCAGGAGGAAGCACGGAAGGGATCGTCCCTTGCACCTCCACTCCTTTCAGTTTTACAACGTAGGGAAGAGGATAAGATTGAAGAAACCGAAATTGTAGATTACAAGGAGAATGGAGAACTTCAGTGGAACAGACCCAGGAGAACACTGGTCACTCCCTCTTTTGTGGTCATCCTTCCAATGAGATAATTTTATCAGTACACTGGGACAAACTGAGCCTTGCTTTTCCATTTTGTGTGAAGAGGTCAACTTTCTGCTGGTCAAACTTCAGTTGTTAGAATGATAATGTGGCATCTGGGGTTTCATCCTTTGGGGTTGAGTTGAGTTTAATGCTCTGTAAAGAATTTCAATACCTGGGTCAAATGAATCCTTCTGCTTCCCCCCCCCACACACACACATTTGAAACGTGAGACATTTTCATTTCTGCAAAATTAATATTTTAACTCATCTTTGTCATCAGTCTCCGTCCAGTATTGTCTAGGTATTGGTAGCATTGTGGTTGCATTTACTTTCTTCCTTTCTTTTGTGATCCCACCTAATTCTCCTAAACTTCTGTTTTCCAGTAACACTCTTCTGCCTCTGTAACCTCATTACAAATTTAGTATGGTGGCAGTGATCTGCAACGATCATGTGGAAACTCTAGGGTTTAAAGGGAGAAGACAGAAGTCTTTTTTTTTTTTTTTTAAACAATGTTATGTATAATACCACATTTTTGGTAAGTCTTCACTAGGTAGTCCTGATGTAGTTACTGTGTTTGTGGTTTGGAAAGAAATATTAAAAAATAAAACTGGAGTACTTTGTCTTAGGATCAAATCCTTTGTTTGGGGATCTTGCTATTTCAAATGGGCTCAACAACACTGACGTCATCCGCGTTAGTATTACCTGCTGTTGCTGGAGGAGCCCAGCGGACCTGTGGAAGTTGGACTAGACAGAGCTTTGACTTGCTTTTAAGCTGATGTTTGGATGCCAGTGCCTCATTCTTGCTCCCCATTCCTTCCCCCACCCCCACCCCTTGCCAGAAATATTTCTAAGCACACTAGGGTTTCTAAAGAGTCTCATCTGGCTAAAATAAATTATGAGGGTTTTCAATTATGATTAATTAGCAAAGAAAATCACTCTAAATCCCGAGTGAAGCAAGTTGATATTGATTTGTTGATAAATGCTATAAATGATAAAAAAAAATACTCCTTTCAGATTTTACCCTAAGAGAAGACTTGTTAAGAATCTTTATGTTAATATAAAATTATCACCTTTATTTTATAATCTTTATTTTATAAATACTTGCCTGAACACACGTATGTGATGAATTTAATCTAAGTGGATATTGAATATCTGAGACTTTATAAACATTTCACCTTTAATAAAGGAATGCAGTGGAGTCCCAATTTTCCTGCCTTAGTGTCCTGAGTGCAAGTGCTTAGATTACAGTTGTGCACCACCACGCCCACCTGAGTGAAATTTTTCTTTAGCATGAAGTGAATAGTGCATTTTACTAAAGGCAGACATTAGTATGTATAGAGGGACTAGCTTAATCAGAGAAATTCTGATTAAAGAGAAATTCTGGCTTCATATGTGACACCCCCCCCCCCCCCAAGCCCTTGCAGCCCTTGTTATCATCAGCCTTCGCGCCACAGAGGATTCATAATACCAGGCATTATTTAGAGTTGCTTGGGGCTCCCTCTGCTCCAACTGTAGGCTCTTCGTGTGTGTGTGTGTGTGTGTGTGTGTGTGTGTGTGTGTGTGTAAGAAACTTTTTATTTCAACTTTTTATGTTTTTTTTGTTAGCCTACATTGTGCCCAGAGGGTTTCATTGTGACATGTCCAAACATGCACACAATCGACACTAGGCTCTTGAACTAACCAGAGCCAAGCTCAGCACTCTATCTAACCACCTGCACGCCCCACCAAGCCTCCTTGTGTTTGAAGGACCGGAACTCTGCATGATTTTTCCACTGATAAGTGGTTAAAAACAATAACACCAACACCATTTTGTTACTGAGGAAAACAAAGCTATGAAGATGAACCACACTCATCTTCGCGGTTTCTGTGGCTGTCAGGGCCACAGGACAGTCAGGGAATGTTTCAGGAAGACTTGGTTCACAAAGCCAGAATTTCCTGGCTGGTCTTTTACAGAGACTGGAGACTCCCCGGAGCTCTAACCCCACCCCTGCCGCGCCTCCCTGACTCCACTCAGACCTTCTGGAGGAGGCGGTTTGAAAAGCTATATTGGGAGTTTGAAAAGGCACTGGAAGCCTGGACAGTGCTCCAGGCAGGAGGGAGCAGGCCAGGGAAAGTTCCCACGTGGAGATTAGCCTCAGAGCAGAGGAAGCAGCAGGACTGGACTGATGAGGGAGGTGGTTAGGAGCGTCTACATCTGTTCAAGAAGAGGCCATATTGCCAGAGGGCAGAGTTTGTGTGACAAGCCTTGCATTTGCAGAACTGGGAAGTCTGGCACAAAAGGAAGTAGAGGAAGGTGGGACAATATGAGTCCAATGAAGGGCAAAGGCCAGGGTGCCAGCATTTACCTAAGGGAACTGAGAAGCCAGGATTTCTGTCTGGGGATCCAGAATGAGCTGTGTGGGAAAAGTCTTATTGTCAGAAGAGGTGGTGCAGCTGGGCACTGGTGGCTCACACCTGTCATCCTAGCTACTCAGGAGGCTGAGATCTGAGGATCGTGGTTCAAAGCCAGCCCTGGCAGGAAAGTCCACGAGACTCTTATCTCCAAGAGACCACCAGAAAACCAGAAGTGGCCTGTGGTTCAAGTGGTAGAGCGCTTGCCTTGAGCTGAAGAACTCAGGGGCAGCACCCAGGCCCAGAGTTCAAGCCTCATGACTGACCAAAAACAAAACCACCACTACCACCACCACAACCACAAAACAGCTAAGCCAGGTGAGGTGTCTAAGATCTGGAAGATCTCTGAAGCCAGCCTGGGCAAAATATTAGTGAAACCCTCATCTGAACAAACACATTAGGTATGGTGGTGCACACCTGTAATCTCAGCTACACATTAGGCCTAGGTTGGAGGATAAAAGGCTGGTCCTGACAAAAGACCATATCTAAAAAATAGCTAAAGCAGAAAGGGCTGGGGATGTGGCTTCAGTGGTAGAGCACCTGCTTAGCAAGCACAAGATCATGAGGTGTTTTTTTTTTTTTTTTAATGATTAAAACAAGCTACAAAATATAAAACATTAAAATTCACCTAATATCCCTTCAGTAAGAGGGAACCTAGATAACACTGTGGTGACATTTATATGGTTATAATAACAGCTCATGTACATGATTGCCATATTCCAGATTATATATGATACTCCTGTAATAATAGTCTTCTGAGACAGATACTATTACCCTTACTCCAGCATAAGAGAGGCTAAGCAACTCACAAAGTGCTGTTTAGATAGTGTGTGTGAGTTTAGCTGGGCGCTGGGGCTCACACCTGCAATCCTAGGAGTTTATAACGTAATAAAATGCTGAATTAAGTTGGCTTTTTCCTCATCATTTCCATTCAAATAAGCAAACAAGTAATATTCTTGTTTCCAATTGCATTTATTTCCTAATCTGAGTAAAAAGAATCATGTTTCTTCTTTCCTCTCAAATTTCTGGGACCCCCAAACATGTTAGGCTTTCTTTTCCCTGGCAGACAAATGAGGATTTTTTTGGGGATGGGGTGGGTGGGTACTGGGGCTTGAACTCAGGGCCTTAGGTACTGTCCTTGAACTTTTTTTTTTTTTTTGGGTCCGGTCGTGGGGCCTGAACTCTGGGCCTGGGCGCTGTCCCTCAGCTCTTCAGCTCAAGGCTAGCGCTCTACCACTTGAGCCACAGCACCACTTCTGGCTTTTTTCTTTTTGCTTATGTGGTGCTGAGGAATCGAACCCAGGGCCTCAGGCATGCAAGGCAAGCGCTCTACCACTGAGCCCCCCTTCCCAGCCCCCTTGAACTTCTTTTGGTCAAGGTAATGCTCTACCGCTTGAGGCACAGCTCCGTTTCTGGCTTTTTTTTTTTTTTTTTTTGTAATTTAGTGGAGAAAAGAGTCTCCAGACTTTGTTTTCCTGGGCCCACTTTAAACCATGATTCTCTTGAATCCTGGGCCTACCTGGGTTGGCCCTTTACCACTTGAGCCACACCTCCAGCCCTCCTATTTGCTGGTTATTTTGCTGAGGGGTTTAGCAAAAAATTTAGTTCCTAGCCCTGCCCTGATGGCTCACGCCTGTAATCCCAGCTACTCAGGAGGCTGAGATCTGAGGATCGTGGTTTAAAGCCAGCCAGGGCAGGAAAGTCCGAGAGACTCTTGCCTCCAATAAACCACTCGAAAACCAGAAGTGAAGTGGCGCTGTGGCGGTAGAGTGCTCACCTTGAGCTGAAGAGTGCAGGGACAGTGCCCAGGCCCAGAGTTCAAGCCCCATGACTCCCCCCCCCCCAAAAAAAAAATAGTTCCTGGGCTGGCTCTGAACCAGATCTCAGTCTTCTGCATAGCGAGGATTACAGGTGTGAGCTGCCTTCTAGAGGATTTTACCGTGGCCAGCACCAAGACAAAAAGGTGGTGGAAGATGAGAGTTCGAGAGTTCAAAGAGCACCTGGAGCAGAGGAAGTCTAGTGTCCGCCGAAGTCTAGTGTCCGTCGTTGGGGAGGGTGTTAGGGGAAGGAGTTAGCGCAGCTAGTGAGGCTGAGGGCTTTTTTTTTTTTAATCATGATAAATGTTTTTCAGGCTGGTCTCTAACTCCTGAACTCAAATGATCTTCTCAGCCTCCTCAGTATCTTGCTCTACAGATGTAGAACCACCAGCTCCCGCCTAGAAATGCTTTTCCCAGGACTAGATCAATCACAGCATCTGTTTCCGAACTTCCCAAGGGCGAGGTCCCTTAGTCTCCCCCTTTCTGAAAGATGGGACACCAAGCAGGCTGAGCTCTGGGATGACACTTGGGCAGTTCCAGCTGTAAACTGAAAATTGGTAAAGCAGTGAATAAGTGGGAAAAGCTATAAAGCAGTATGTAGTGTTTTAATAGCAGCATTGAACTTGTGCTGAGCTGAGTCAATTCTTTTTTTCTCATTAGCAGCTCTTTGCGGGGGGGTGGCAGGGGTCAATGGGTGAGGGAAATGAAGGTTGTTAGGAAATATTTAGGACCAGAAATGTTTCAGTAGGATCTGGAATGAACTTTTCACCATTATTTGTAGGGTTTTGCGGCCTCCGGGCGGTGGATCCAATTTCTCCTTAGGCTTCGATGAACCAACGGAACAGCCAGTGAGGAAGAACAAAATGGCCTCTAACATCTTTGGGACACCTGAAGAAAACCCTCCTTCCTGGGCCAAGCCGACAGGTACTGCTTTTAGCTGTGACTGCTGGTTTTGTGCTGGCCAACAAAGCCTAGCTTAATAGGAATGAACAGGTGGCACAGTCTAGCCAGAGGCGGTGTAGCATCAGGAGAGTCAGCCTCAGGAGTCTGAGCCTGGAAAAGTAGGAGTTCAAGACCAGCCTGAGAGCTACTTGAGTTAACCTGGCCTGACTTACTAAGTCTCTCTTTTTCCCTTCCTTTCTCTCTCTCTCTCTCTCTCTCTCTCCCTCCCTCCCTCCCTCTCTTCCTCCCTCCCTCCTTCCCTCTCCCTCCCTCCCTCTCTTTCTCCCTCTCTCCTCTCCCTCTTTCCCTCCTCCCCCCCCCCTCCCCCCCATTGTGGGGCTTGAACTCAAGTTCTGGGTTCTGTTGCTGAGCTCTTCAGCTCAAGGCTAGCACGGTACCACTTTGAGCTATAATACCACTTCTGGTTTTCTGGTGGTTAGTTGAAGATAAGAGTCTCATGGACTTTCCTGCCTGGGCTGGCTTTGAATTGTAATCCTCACATCTCAGCCTCCTGAATAGCTAGGATTACAGGTGTGAGCCACCAGCACCTGCCCAGAAGTCTCTCTCTTTTTTTTTTTTTTGGTCAGTCATGGGCCTTGAACTCTGGGCCTGAGCACTGTCCCTCAGCTCTTCAGCTCAAGGCTAACGCTCTACCACTTGAGCTATAGTGCCACTTCCGATTTTCTGGTGGTTTATTGGAGATAAGAGTTTCACGGATTTTGGGCTGGGAAGGTGGCTCAGTGGTAGAGCGCTTGCCTTGCATGCCTGAGGCCCTGGGTTCGATTCCCCAGCACCACATAAGCAAAAAGAAAAAAAGCCGGAAGTGGTGCTGTGGCTCAGGTGGTAGAGCGCTAGCCTTGAACTGAAGAGCTGAGGGATAGTGCCCAGGCCCAGAGTTCAGGCCCCACGACTGTACCCCAAAAAAAAAAAAAAGTTTCACGGATTTTGCTGCACTTCCCTGCCCGGGCTGGCTTTGAACCCCGATCCTCAGATCTCAGCCTCCTGAGTAGCTAGGATTACAGGCGTGAGCCACCAGCACTTGCCCAGAAGTCTCTTTTATCTCTAGCTTTACTCTTAAGTCCTTCAGTTCTGTAGATAATTGAATGAACAAATGGATGAATGAATGAATGAATATTTAAAAATGGGCAATACAGAGAGTCTACAAGGGGGATTTAAGGAAGTCAGATTGGGATTTTTTGAGCCATTAACTAATGTTTCTTAATACAGGAACACATATATGCTAGTTTTAGGGCTTCCTGTTGTATTTCTCAAAAAAGCATATTTCGGTTTCTAGGTGCCAAGTCTAGTGGTGGCAGGGAAGATTTGGAGTCATCTGGACCACAGAGCAGGAACACCTCGGAAGCAAGCTCTGGAGACTTCTTAGATCTGAAGGTCAGAAGGACACCATAAGGGAAGACAGGCTGAGGGCTGTGGGGTTGAAAAGCTAAACTAAGCTTCCCTTGTTTGCTAAGTCTTTCAAATCTTTTTTTTTTTTTTTTTCTTTTCTTTTTGGGTTCGGTCATGGGGCCTGAACTCTGGGCCTGGCGCTGTCCCTCAGCTCTTCAGCTCAAGGCAAGTCCTCTACCACTTGAGCCACAGTGCCACTTCCGGCTTTTCCTGAGTGGTTTTCTGCTCCAGCTGGCTTTGAACTGTGATCCTCAGTGCTCAGCCTCCTAAGTAGCTAGAATGACAGGGAGAGATTTCAATGTCTGCACAGATTTTGAAATCACAGTGTACCTAATTTACAAGTATAGTTTTGTAATGATCTGGCCATTCCTAATATGCTTCTTTAGTTAATCCTGTCAAGAACATTGGATTTCGACCTAATGTATCCATGGTCAGCTGTGACTTCTGTATGTGTGTTGCACATTAACTTAGGGAGTCATTGTTTATTTTATTTTTTTCTTTTCCAGGGAGACGGAGATGTTCATGGTGAGTACTTTTTTTTTTTCTTCTTTAATTGGCAATACTTGGGTTTGTTAGGCTGGTACTCTGCCTCTGAGCCAGGCCTCCAGCCGTGGAAGTAGTTATGAAGCCTGAATTGTTGATTTTGTAGTCAGTTTTAGAACAGATCAGAATTTTAATTCAACTCATGTCTTGGGATTTCTCAGGTTTCTAATAAGCTTTTTAGTTCAAACATAAACCTGTTTAATGAAACAAATAACTAAATAATTGTGTCCAGGTACTGGTAGCTCATACCTGTAATCCTAGCTACTTAGAAAGCTGAAAGCTGAGGATCATGGTTCAAAGCCAGCCCAAGTAGAGAAGTCTGTGAGACTTATCTTCACTAAATTACCAAAAAGCTGGGAGTGGAGCTATGACTCAAGTGGTAGAACGCTAGCCTTGAGCAAAAGAAGTTCAGGGACAAGGCCTAGGCCTCAGTTCAAGACTGGCACCCCTAAAAAAATTTGTACTGGGGAAAGAGACCTGAATGTGCCCCAACTGTAAAAATACTCTGGGTAGAGAGAAAATTAAATTAGTAAATCTGGCTTTATTTTTAATGAGGTAAATACTAGATATGGACTAGAATAAACAATTGGGAACCCTTTTAAAAATTTTTTTTTGGGGGGTCCGGTCATGGGGCTTATACTCTGGGCCTGGGCACTGTCCCTTAGCTCTTCAGCTCAAGGCTAGTGCTCTACCACTTGAGCCACAGCACCACTTCCGGCTTTTTTCTTTTTGCTTATGTGGTGCTGAGGAATAGAACCCAGGGCCTCAGGCATGCAAGGCAAGCGCTCTACCACTGAGCCACCTTCCCAGCCCTGGGACCCCTTTTTTTTAAAAAATGTAATGCATTAATCTTTTTTGTAATTAAAAAAATTTTTTATTTTGCCAGTCTTGGGGCTTGAACTCAGGGCCTGAGTATTGTCCCTGAGCTTCTTTTTGCTCAAGGCTAGCACTCTACCACTTGAGCCACAGCACTAGTTCTGGCATTTTCTGTTTATCTGGTGCTGAGGAATTGAACCCAGGATTTTGTGCATGCTAAGCAAGCACTCTACCACTAGGCCACATTCCCAGCCCCTTGTGCTATTTTATGAGAGCTTTTATTTATTTTTGTGCAGGTCCTAGAACTTGAACTCAGAGCCCACTGTTTCTAAGCTTTTGCTCAAGACTTTCACTCTACCACATGAGCTCCACTTTCAGCGTTTCTTTTCTTTTTTTGTTAGTCCTGGGGCTTCAACTCTGCTTGGGTGTTGTCCCTGAGCTCATCAGCTCAAGGCTAGCACAATTACCACTTGAGCCACAGTGCCACTTTGGTTTTCTGGTGGTTAATTGGTGATAAGAGCCTTATGAAATTTCCTGTCCAGACTGGCTTTGAACTGCGATCCTCAGATCTCAACCTCCTGAGTAGCTAGGATTATAGATGTGAGTCACTGAAGCCTGGATCAGTTTTTTTTTTTAGTAATTTGTTGGAGATAAGAGTCTCACAGACACTTGTCTGGGCTGGCTTCAAACTGGGATCCTCTGATCTCAGCCTCCTGAATAGCTAGGATTATAGGCTTGAGCCACCAGCACCCATGGGGTTTGAACTCTGGGCTTGGGCGCTGTTCCTCAGCTCTTCAGCTCAAAGCGAGCGCTCTACCGCTTGAGCCACAGCGCCACTTCCGGTTTTCTAGTGGTTTATTGGAGATAAGAGTCTTATGGACTTTCCTGCCTGGGCTGGCTTTGAACTACGATCCTCAGATCTCAGCTAGGATTACAGGCGTGAGCCACCGGCGCCCAGCTGAGAGCTTTTTTTTATAATAGGCTCTGGTGTCCCAAGCTCTACTCACAGCATTCATTTTATGAAATTGGTTTATTTGATTTGATACTGAGATGCTTATTCAGCCAGACCTTCGTTACCCACTGGGTTGTTTTTTAAGTTTCCAGTTAGCCATTCACATTACCAATTACAGATGGAAATGAGCTGCAATCATCCACTTAATTATTTTCAGCCTTTGAAGTATTTGCTGGCACCTCTTCTAACAAGTGCTAGGGAATTACTGATGAGTGTAAGTGTGAGTTTACAGGTGTTGGGCTGTAGCCACCAGTCAGGTCTCCTGGTGAAGGTAGCAGTCACTGGGCCTATGGCCCTGAGGAAGATACTGCTTCTTTCTGGCTTTTCTTCCATTGCCTTTTTTGTTAGCACATGTTGACTGTGCAATACGAGGGTTCACTGTGAGATTCCCATGCGTGTGGATAGCACATCTTTCTTGCCCCATCCCTATGGTTGGTTTTTGTGAGCCAGTCTGTGTGAACTGAATTCCTCTTTGCCCTCTTTTTTTTTTTTTTTTTTTTTGGGTCGGTGGTGGGGGTTGAACTCTGGGCCTAGGCGCTGTCTCTCAGCTCTTCAGCTCAAAGCTAGCACTCTACCACTTGAGCCACAGCGCTACTTCCGGCTTTTTCTACTTATGTGGTGCTGAGGAATCAAAGCCAAGGCCTCATGCATGTGAGGCAAGCACTCTACCACTGAGCCACCTTCCCAGCCACCACTTCGCCCTCTTGAATGGTGCTCCTGAAGGTGGCAGGAGGCAGGAGCTGCTGGGCCTCGGGGCACATTGTCTGGGCTCACTCCTTGCAGAATAGGTCACGCTTATATTGGATCCAAGATATATGTTACTGTGTGGGTCTTTAGTGGCATTTGTAAGTCTAGGCTTTAGTTGCACTACTTTTCATCTTCCTCAATTACACTGGACTTAGTGGTCAGATAATCTTTTGTTTTCTTTGTGATACTGAGGATCCAGACCTATGAGCCTGGGTCATTTAGGCAAGTCTTCTAGAGTGAGCTGCACCCCAGCCCCAGAATCCGTTGACCTGATTTGAACTAATGGATATAATTAAAGATTTGTGGAGGGCTGGGAAGGTGGCTCAGTGGTAGAGTACTTGCCTAGCATGCATAGAGCCCTGGGTTGGATTCTCAGTACCACATACACAGAAAAAGCTGGAAGTGGCTCTGTGGCTCAAGTGGTAGAGTGCCAGCCTTTAGCAAAAGAAGCTCAGGGACAGTGCCCAGGCCCTGAGTTCAAGCCCAGGACTGGCCAAAAAAAATAAATAAAGAAGAAGCAGGGTGCTGGTGGCTCATACCTATAATCCTAGCTACTCAGAAGGCTGAGATCTGAGGATTGCGGTTCAAAGTAGCCCAGGCAGGAAAGCCTGTGAGACTAAGAAAGAAACAACAGGCTGGAAAGGTGGCTCAGTGGTAGAGCACTTGCCTTGCATGCTCGAGGCCCTGGGTTCGATTCCTCAGCACCACATAAGAAAAAAGCCAGAAGTGGCGCTGTGGCTCAAGTGGTAGAGTGCTAGCCTTGAGCTGAAGAGCTGAGGGACAGCGCCCAGGCCCAGAGTTCAGGCCCCACGACCGGACCCAAAAAGAAAAAAAAAAAAAGAAACAACATGTCATCAGATCTACTGAGTAATTATGCTCTTCCCTGCCCCTCTTCTTCAAGGAAACAGCACACTGGGTTGTATGCCTTTTTTTTTTCCCCTGCTTTGGTTTGAGATAAGATCTCTAGTTTTTGCCCAATCAATCCTCAGATCTCAATCTTCCTACCTAGGCTTCCTTGGAGTTGGGTTATGGGTATATGCCACCATGCCCAGTTTATTTGTTGGAATGAGGTCATTCACTAGCTTTGCTTGTGCTGGCTAGGACAGTGTGAGCCAGCTGTCTGGCATGGTGGTTATGGTGGTGATGAAGCTGAGTGTTGCACGAGGCAAGCATTTTTCCACCAAGTGTAGCCAGGCTGGCCTCAAACTCAAGAACCTCTTGCCTCAGCCTCCTAAGTGTGTCGGGTGTTAGCTGTCTTGGCCGAATAAAGCACAGCACGCATGTCTGAGAGGGGAGTCTAATGTGGAAAGACTGGCAGGCTGACTCCATCAGGACAGAGAGCAGCAGCTGCCAGCTGCCATTGTTAGGAAGGGGTATTTATAGGGAGGGAGCCTGCTAGAAGAGTGGGTGACGGGGTTAACTTAGGGACTAAGCCACCTGCCTGGCCACAGCAACCTGGAGATGGGGACGGCCAGGCAGAACCTTGGCCACTGGAATGTTGGCCTTCCCCCAGCCAGCACTGGGGTTACAGGCATGCACCACTGTACTGAGCCCCCCCTCTTTATTTTTTTTTTTGCTGATCACCAATTTTATCATCTGTTCATTATGACCCTGACTGGTGCAACTTGAGCTCATTTGCCATAAAGTTCCCATGATGCAGCTGGTGGCCCTGCTGCACCATTACTTCAGTAAGGTCAGGTTTGTTTAGATATAAGGGAAATGCTTTTTTTTTTTTTTTTTTTTTTTTAGGGTCGGTCATGGGGTTTGAACTCTGGGCCTGGGCACTGTCCTTCAGCTCTGCAGCTCAAGGCGAGCGCTCTACCACTTGAGCTACAGCGCCACTTCCGGTTTTCTAGTGGTTTATTGGAGATAGGAGTCTCATGGTCTTTCCTGCCCAGGCTGGCTTTGAACCTTTATCCTCAGATCTCAGCCTCCTGAGTAGCTAGGATGACAGGTATCAGCCACCGGCGTGCAGCTTAAGGGAAATTCTTGACCTTTTGGATAATTAAACATAGGAATAGCTATAATGAGAGGTTGGGAATATAGTCAATGGTTAAAAGATTTCCTAGCACTTGCAAGACCCTGGGTTCAATCCCCAGTACGACAAAGTACAAAGAGCTGGGTGCTGGTGGCGTTTTGTAATTCTAGCTACTCAGGAGGCTGAGATTTGAAGACTGTGGTTGAAAGTCAGCCCAGGGAAGGAAATTGGTGGTTAGCTGGGGAAACTGGAAGTGGAGTTGTGGCTCAAAGTGGTAGCATGCTAGCCTTGAGGAAAAGGAACTCAAGGATAGAGCCCAGGCCCTCAGTTCAAGCCCGAGACCAACCAAAAGAAAAAAAGAAAGAAATCCAGGAAGGTTAGGTAGAAGCCTTTTCCCTCCTTCAGAAAGTTAGATTGTCCACTACATTTCTTCTTGTCCCAGTTCTTTGATGCTTACAATGAATCATTTTTTTGTATTCAAGACAAAGCTGTCTTTGTTCACTTATCTTACAGTGCCAAAGAAAAGTCAGGAGTAGATAAAATGTTTATTTTGATGCTCAAAGACCCTGGGTTTGATCCTCAGCACTGCAATAAATAGCTTAAAATGAAATTTCTGTCTGTCTATATATTGGTCCGAATATTTTCCTTTGAGGCCCCTGCTTTGGAATTATTAGGGTAGACCAAGACTTTTGAAGTACCTAAGATCAGGTTTGATGATGCATGCCTGGAATCACTTCTACTTGGGAGACAGAAGTAGAAAGGGAGGGAGAATCTAAATGTTTGTTTTTCAGTTCCTGTATTTAAACCTTAAAAAAGCTGGAATTAGAGTTGGGGCTCAAGTGATAGGCGTTAGCTTTGAGCAAAAGAAGCTCAAGGACAGCACCAGGTGCTGAGGTCTGAGTTCAATTAAGTCCCAGGATCAAAAACAAACAAACAAAAAACCCCTCTATTACTCATATATGCTTGTATAATTTTAAAAAGATCATATGAAAAGCATGTGGCAAAAACAGTGCAAAGCTCTGAGTGGTCTAAACGTGGTTTTTGTTGTTTTGTTTTGTTTTTGGGTCCAGTTGTGGGGCCTGAATTCTGGGCCTGGGCACTGTCCCTCAGCTCTTCAGCTCAAGGCTAGCGCTCTACCACTTGAGCCACAGCGCCACTTCTGGCTTTTTTCTTTTTGCTTGTGTGGTGCTGAGGAATTGAACCCAGGGCCTCAGGCATGCAAGGCAAGCGCTCTACCACTGAGCCACCTTCCCAGCCCCCTAAATGTGGTTTTTTAATTTTTCTTTTTTTTCTCTATTTTTCTTTCTGTCGGTCGTGAGTCCTGAACTTTGGGCCTGTGCGCTGTCCCTGAGCTCTTCAGCTCAAGGCCAGTGCTCTACCACTTGAGCCACAGTACCACTTCTGGTTTTCCAAGTGGTTTATTGGAGATAAGAGTCTCACAGACTTTTCCTGCTCGGGCTGGCTTTGAACCTTTATCCTCAGATCTCAGCCTCCTGAGTAGCTAAGATGACAGGCGTGAGCCACCAACACCCGGATTAATTTTTCAATACATTTCAAACCATCCTCCATCCAATGAGGAGAAAGATCTTGGGACTCTTCACCTAAACTAGAAATGGTTATTAGGCTCATTTCCATTCTCTGTTTTTTCTAGAAAATGTGGACACAGACTTCCAGGGCAACCTGGGGCAAAGCGAAGAGAAGCCGGTGCCCGCTGCCCCTGTGCCCAGTCCTGTGGCCCCGGCCCCCGTGCCATCCAGGAGAAATCCTCCCGGGGGCAAGTCCAGCCTGGTCCTGGGTTAACTCCAGCTGTCCTGAACTCTGTCGTTTTATTTGTCTGTTTCTACGTGCTCGTGACTGCACAACTTGAGCCTGACTGTACATCTTTTGGATTTGTTTCATTAAAAAAGAAGCACTTTATGTACTGCTGTCTTTTTTTTCCTCCCCCTTTCTCTCTCTCTCTCTCTTTCTCTCTCTCTTCTTTTTGAAGAACAAGTTTCTATTTCTCTGACTCCTTTGGGTCTGGGCCGTGGCATGGGTGTTTTCTAGTAGTAGATTGGAGGGAAAGCTTTGTGGCACTTAGTACTGTGTTTTTAAGAACAAATGATCGGGTTCCTGATGTGTTTGCTAGAGGCTCTTTTGTACTGGATTTTGTCCTTTTTTTTTTTTTTTAAATGCTCTGTGTTCGCTTTACCATGATGGGACAGACTACAGGCAGCACCTGGCAGCTCTACCACACCAGGCTGCCTTTACACAGAGCTTCTCCTCCGTGTTGTCCTTTGCTAAACACATCTTCTGGTTCCCTGTGGACCAACAGAGGCCCACCCCTGTCACCTTGCTGCCGCATGCCAAGATGACTGGCTGGCCAGTGGGCGCTTCTGCTGCTGTGATGCCCAGGTCAGCATCTGGTGTGGGGCCAAGGCTGCCTGGAAAGGCCCAGTGGTTGAGGCAGTGGAGGGAGGCAGTGATGCCGGAGAGGTGGAGGTCCCCATGCAGGGGCGGGGCCGGGGCTGTGTGTGTTCTTATTAAGTAGCTTGATGCTGTGTGCATGATGCTGGTGCTCGACCATGAGAGGAAGTCTCATCCTTAAATGTGTTGTACTGCTCAATCCTGGACTGTTGCTTCAAGTAAACAATATCCACGTTTGCAACCGCTGTGTCTGTGTCTTCTTTCTGACACTGGGTCTGCTGCCTCCTCACAATCCTGCAAGCTGATTTGGTGAGGCATTTGGTGATTTGGTGAAGATGCAGAGGAAGGAAGGGTGTTCTCCAAAAAAATACATAGCTGGGCACCAGTGGCTCATGCCTATAATCCTAGCTACTCAAGAAACTGAGATCTGAAGATCAAGGTTCAAAGCCACCTCGGGCAGAAAAGTCCATGAGACTTCTATTTCCAATAAACCACCAGAAAATTAGAAGTGGTGCTGTGGCTCAAGTGGTAGAGCACTAGCCTTGAGCTGAAGAACTGAGGGACAGCACCCAGGCCCAGAGTTCAGGCCCCATGACCAACAACAACAAAAAATACCCGAGACATTTCTACTGCCTACCTTCCCTTTGCGCATGTCAAAGCATGTCAAAGTGGCTGTGGCAGGGCCTGGAGGCAGTGGGTCCCCAGGGAGGCCTGGTTTCCATCCCCAGCACCCATGGTGAATAAAGCTTTGAGCCTCTATTCTAGTGAAGCTCTTTTCTATGGCCTGTGATCAGAGGAGAAGGCTTCAAAGAAGCATCCAGAAGACAGGAGAAGAGCTTTTGGTTTCTACAGCTGCAGTTCTACAGCTTTGGCAAGACTGGTACTTAGCTTTGTACTCGCTGATCTGCCAGGTAAGCTACAATTCATTTGAATATCCAAATTAGGCCCCTTTCTTCTTAGTTACTTCTTTCATTTCTTCCTTTCTTCATTTTTCTTTTTCCTTTCTTCCTTTTTTTATCTTTTTTTTTTTTTTGCCAGACCTGGACCTTGAACTTGGGCCTAGGCACTGTCCCTGAGCTTCTTTTGCTCAAGGCTGGCACTACCACTTGAGCCACAGCGCCACTTCTGGCTTTTTCTGTTTATGTAGTACTGAGGAACCCAGGGCTTCATGCATGCGAGACAAGCCCTCTACCACTAAACCACATCCCCAGCCCTCCCTTCCTTCCTTCTTTCCTCCCTTAGTTCTGTAACAAGAAGTTTGAACTTAGGATCTTGCACTCCATAGGCAGGTGCTCTACCATTTGAGCTCCTTTCCCCTCTCCCTCCCTCCCCTCCCCTTTTATTTTGCTGGTTGTGGGGCTTGAACTCTGGGCCTGGGCGCTGTCTCTCAGCTCTTCAGCTCAAGGCTGGGACTCTACCACTTGAGCCACGACGCCACTTCCAGTTTTCTGGTGGTTTATTGGAGATAAGAGTCTCATGGACTTTCTCCCCATCCAGGGGGACTTGAACTGCGATCCTGAGATCTCAGCCTTCTAAGTAGCTAGGATTACAGGCATGAGCCACTGGTGCCCCGTGTAGATGGTTGAATGTTAGGTTTTTTCTCCCTTTATTATGGCAATAAAGCATTTTGCAAAAGGTTGAATCAACAGCTATATCATGATTGTTCCAATATTTCTGAAGCAGGTCAGCTTTATAAATAGCAACACTGGTTTTACCGGCTTACGATGATTTCTATTATGAATCTCAAAGGGAGGGAACCTGCACCCTTAGCCTGTGAGTGAATAAGGGTGGAGTTCCTGGAAATATCCTGGTTTGTGTCATAACTTGATAAGTTGGCTTTACTCTCTGAAGGTAAGTGCCTACTCGGAATTGAGGTCTGATATTGTCAAAGAAGGTTTTAGGAAATGAAATGTTTGCAAGACCATGTTCAAGAAAATTTCAGGTCTGGAATGTGAAATCACATGATCTTAAAATGGATAATATTAAATATAAACTAAATTATAATGGATATTAAAAGTTATCCTTGTAAATTATAATGGATATTAAAAGTTATCCAGGTTGGTGCTGGTGGCTCACACTCACACTTGTAATCTTAGGAGGCTGAGATCTGAGGATCACAGTTCAAAGCTGGCCCAGGCAGGAAAGTCCATGAGACTTTCATCTTCAATTAACTACCAAAATGCCAGAAGTGGTGCTATGGCTCAAGTGGCAGAGTGCTGGCCTTGAGCACAAGAAGCTCAGGGACAGCGCCCAGGACTGGCAAAAAAAAAAAAAAAGATTCCCTAAAGGGGCAGCAGAAACATTCTTGGCAGCCAGACCTCTTAGCGAAGTTTGTGCGGCATCAGGACAAAGCCCAGGGACCTAAGGCTCTGCCAATGCAGCCTCCTCCACATTCTAAACTGACTCACCCTAGAATGATCAGTGCCCTCCTCCCCCACGTCTCTAAACCGAGGGCTTCCAGCGTGCTCAGTTTGCCTGCTCCCCTCTGGCCTGCCTGCTCCCCTCTCTCCTGCTCCCCTCGGGCCTGCCTGCTCTCCTGTCTGCTCTCCTGCTCTCTTGGCAGTCTGACGCTTGAGCCACAGGCTGCCCCTTCTGCGGCTCCTGCCGCCGTGGTTTGGACATAGAGGGCCCTCAGCTGAGCTGGAGCAGCAAGAGAGGCTCCTACTCCGATCAGTGTAGTTTGTGAGGTAAATAGATGTGGATGTGAGATTTACAGAGGATTCCACAAAAGTTAGCGAAGCTCATCGCTTTCCACGGGGAATGCAAAGTTCTGACCGAGCAGGGATGCGGTGCGCGGTGGGGGGGGGGGGCGGGGAGGGGGAAGGGGGGGGCGGCGGGGAGGGGGAAGGGGGGGCGGGACGAGCGCTGGTTACCGGACGCGCTAAGGATGCGGTGCGCGGGGGGGGGGGGCGGGGAGGGGGAAGGGGGGGCGGGACGAGCGCTGGTTACCGGACGCGCTCGGGATGCGGTGCGCGGGGGGGGGGGGGGCGGGGAGGGGGAAGGGGGGGCGGGACGAGCGCTGGTTACCGGACGTGCTCGGGATGCGGTGCGCGGGGGGGGGGGGGGGGGGGGGGGAGCGAGCGCTGGTTACCGGAGCCAGGTGGAAATCTGGCTCCGGTTTGAAGAAGAAACCCCTGCCTCAAGCTAACTGGTTCATGCGTTGGCCGTCGGGAGCTTAAACCCAGCTGAGTCCATTCACTCACTCGCGTTAATCCGCAGCCCCCAGACTTGGGCCTGGGCTGGCGCTGTCTGCAGACAGCTCTGGTCCGGCCCCCCCGCCGGGAGCGGGCGCCCCACGGGCGACTCCTCAGACGCTGCTCCCGGTCGTTCAGATCGCCTAAGGTAACACCTAGGTGAAGGTCACACTTTGAGGTAGAAAGCGGAATACCAGAAGAGCGAGCGCCGCAAGCCCCCGCCCCAGGAAGTCCGCCCGCCCTCCGCCCTCCGCCCTCCCGCTCTCCCGCCCGCGAGCCGCCGGGTCCCCGGGTCCGAGCGTCCGGAGCCCTATGCAAATTACCCAAGTCCAGCTCTATGCAAATCACCGGCCAGGCCCCGCCCACCGCTCTCGGTCCCGGAAGCGGCCGTCTGGGCGCGCAGAGCTCGGCCCTGGCGCCGCGCCGCCCGCTTCCGCCCGTGCGCGCTGCCGGGGTTCCCGGCGGCGATGGCGGCGCGGCCTGTGCGCGTGTTGGTGGACATGGACGGCGTGCTGGCCGACTTCGAGGCCGGCCTCCTGCGGGGCTTCCGGCGCCGCTTTCCCGGAGAGCCGCACGTGCCGCTGGCGCAGCGCCGCGGCTTCCTGGCCCGCGAGCAGTACCGAGCCCTGCGGCCGGACCTGGCGGTAGGAGGCGGCGGGGGTGGGGGCGCGGTCCGGGGACGCCACCTCCGAGTCCACAGTTCACCCCAGGTCCAGAAAGGTCGGGTCCCCCGCCCCTCCGCCGGCGGGCGCCCGAGCCCCGGGCTTGTGTCTCGTAGGACAAGGTGGCCAGTGTGTACGAAGCGCCAGGCTTCTTCCTGGACTTGGAGCCCATCCCCGGAGCCGTGGAGGCCCTGCGGGAGATGAACCGCATGCCCGGGTGAGCAGGGCGGACCCAGGCGCGGAGGGGGCCGAGGGAGGCTCCGCCCGGGCTGACCGCTCCCCTTCCTCCCCCGCAGCACCGAGGTCTTCATCTGCACCAGCCCCCTGCTCAAGTATGACCACTGTGTGGGCGAGAAGGTGCGGCGCCTGCGCAAGCCGAGGCTTTCCAAACCGGGGTGTAACCGTGACCACAGACACAAAGCCGGGGCCTGGGGAAAGGGGAGCAGTGACGTCCACACCCACCACTGACGGCCCCTGACTTAGGGTCCCTCAGACCCCACTGGCAAACCTGTCTCCTCCACAGTACCGCTGGGTGGAGCAGAACTTGGGGCCCGAGTTTGTGCAGCGCATTATCCTGACGAGGGACAAGACGGTGGTCAGGGGGGACCTGCTCATCGATGACAAGGACAACATTCAAGGTTGGTCCCTTTTTCCCGGGCAACCTCCAGACATCTGGCCTGCCCGGATTAGAGAGAGGGAGTAAAAATAACCAAGATTACAGATTACATGTGCTGCCTTTTCTGTCCCAGGTTTAGAGGAGACCCCGAGCTGGGAGCACATCTTGTTCACCTGCTGCCACAACCAGCACCTGGCCCTGCCCCCCTCCAGGAGGCGGCTGCACTCCTGGAGTGACAACTGGAGGGGAATCATAGACAGCAAGCGCGCACCTGTTCAGCAGGACTGAGCAGGACCTGGCTGGGGAATAGACACCAGAGTGTCTGCTTGCACAAGCCCTATCATGAAGCAGCTTCCAAGATGGCAGGCTGAATGAACAATCATGCCTGGCATGGAAATACAGTAGGGAAATCAGGACGCTTTTAATTACAAAACCAAAAAACCATAATCTCTGGCTGTTTATTTGGTAAGGGGAAGCCATAGGAGCCCAGGGTGGAGCTGAGCAGGTGACCTTGCCTCGGCCCCACACACTGGACATATACACCAGATGGGTGGTCCTTGTGTCTGGAGCATCACCCCAACTTGCACCCCCCCAAGTTCCAGAGGGCCCTTCCAGGGGTCGGCCTCCCCTCATCAACCATGACAGCAGAAAAGGGCCAGCTCCAAGGGTCTTTATTTGATGCCAGTACCGGGGCATGAAGTCAGGGCTTTGGTGCTGTTCCTTAGCCTTGTTTTGCTCAAGGGTATGGCTCTACCACTTGAGACTCAGCTCCACTTCTGGCTTTTTGGTGGTTAATTGGAGGTAAGCGTCTCACAACATTTCTACCCAGGCTGGCTTTGAACATGATCTTCAGATCTCAGCCTTCTGAGTAGATAGGATTACACAGTGCCCAGCTTCTGGCAATCTTTATTTAAAGTATTTTGGATTTTGTAGTCTGGGCTAGCCTTGAACCTGTGATCTTGTTGCCTCTTATGAGCCTTTCTGGGATTACAGTTGTGTGTCACCACACCAAGCTTTGCTGTCTGCTGGTCATATTAGCAGTCATTGGGCTGCATCAACAAGGGCAGGGAGCACATCTCCATCTTTGTATTCCTCACAGGATACACAGTAGGTTGGAGGGTTGTGTAGACAGCTACTCCTGAGCTGTAGTTACCTGGGTCAGTGTCTGCCATGCTCAAATGCCCAACTTGGAGATGAGTGGTGGTATGGTCTTGCACAGCCCTGGAGGGGCGTGGCATCTCCCTAGCTTTCCTTTAATGCCATGGTCCCAACCACTGCTCACAGTCCACCCTGCACACCTGAAGCCTGCACATCCTACGGGGGTGTGAGCCTGGCAGTGGGGGACCAGAGGTAGGTCCTTCATTTATAGTGTGTTGAGTGCCAGCCCCCCCCATGAGCGGCACTAGCTTTTGGTCCCTTCTCCATGTATGTATCTCGGTCTAGTTTTACCCGTGTGAGACCCGTGCTGAAAAACCTCACCCTGAAGACGGTACTGCTGCTGCAGCAGGGACTTCCTCAGCCGTCTGCCCCTTTGCCCTTCAAGAGGGTGGTCTCTGGTAGCAGGGATGCTAGAGCCGCGGGAGTCTCCCTGGATCAGGGTTGCTGGGGGGTCTCATTCCTTGGCAGTGGGATACCCAGAGCAGAGTGCGCCTGCCAGCTTTGGGCTTCAGCCACCTGGCCTGGGGAACAGAAGTCCTGCAGGAAGATCTGGGCCAGGTTCTGGAGCCTTGTGCTGGCCGAGAGAGAGAAGCGCAGCATGCACTGGATGACTGGCATGGAGGTGAGCTCGGGGTGAGAGCCAGGGCGTGGTGAGCTCAGGTACATGAGCGTGGTCACAGCGGACAGCACCGTCTCCTCGTTGGGGCTGGACAGGCAGTTGATGATGAGTGGGACGCCCCCTGCCTGCAGGATGTATTCCTTGTTGGTCCTGTCTGAGCACAGGTTGCAGAGGCCTCCTGGGGAAAAGCAGTGTGGAGCCTGGGTGCCAGGGCCTGGCTTCCTCCCTCCTCCTCCTCCCGGGTTCCTCTTTGCCCAGTGAGCTGTGAGGAGGCACTGGGATGCTGGCCCAGGGATAAGGGATGAGAAGACTCCAGGCCCCAGCTCTCTCCCATTTCCACAAAGACCAGCCTGCCACCATCACCTAGCTTGTCACAGTGGGCACAAGCGCCTCTTCTTGGTTCAGAACTTTGAGGGCTGGTACGCTTTCCTTTTTCTTTTATTCATTGCCCACTATTAAGTTCTGAAGTCAGGGCCTCACACTTTCTCAGCTTGTTCTCGGGATCTCCAGCCACACTTCTTGTCAAGCTCTTCTCTGGTTATTTTGAAAATGGAGTCTCATGGGCTTTTCTGTCTGGACTGGCCTCAAATTAAGATCCTCTGGGTCTCAGCCTCCTGATTAGCTACTGGAATAAGTCACTAGCACGAGGCTATTATCACTTGGTTTTTGTTTTTGTTGTCAGTTGTGGGGCTTGAACTCTGGGCCTGGGTGCTGTCCCTGCACTCGCTCTACTGCTTGAGCCATAGTGCCACTTCCGGTTTTCTGGTAGCTCATTGGAGATAAGAGTCTCACGGACTTTCCTGCCTGGACTGGCTTTGAACCACGATCCTCAGATCTCAGCCTCCTGAGTTGCTAGGATTACAGGCGTGAGCCTCCAGCACCTGGCTAACACTTGTTTCTTTATCCCACAATTTAAAACATATGTAAATACAGATATTTAATTTAAGAAAGGTACCCTCATTGGTGTTTCCAAAGCCAGCTCTTATTAACAATGTAATGCAGATGTTCTGCTGGCAACATTTTGTGGGCATGAGGCGAGAGCATTATAATGTCATTTTCACATCACTGTCTAGGATTCTAGGGAAAGCAGAAAAGGCCTGAGTGTCAGATCAGACCCCTTTCCCACTCCCCAGTCTCCTCAGGGCCCCTCAACTTTGTGACTTCTTGACCTTGGGGACAGATACTTCTACTTAGAGGACCCTTTCCTTAGCATTGGCTTTTTAGTGCAAGCAGACAACTTCCTGTGCACACTGACTCAGTTTCCTGCCATCTTACCTCTATCTGTTGGTTCCTGCTTCTAGGAGGAGGAAACTACATCTTGGCTCATTTGTATTAACATGCCCGAGCGGCCAGTCAAAGGTGAGGGTCATGCCTGCTTCCCCTGCTTCTCTGGAAATTACCAAGCAGGTACCCCTAAGATCCAACTAAGAAGCTGGGGCTGCTGGGTGCTGATGGCTCACGCCTGTAATCCTAGCTACTCAGGAGGCTGAGATCTGAGGATTGTGGTTCAAAGCCAGCCCGGGCAGGAGAGCCTGTGAGACTCTTATCTCCAATGAACCAGCAGAAAACCAGAAGTGGCATTGTGACTCAAGTGGGCCAGCACTTGCCTTGAGCTGAAGAGCTGAGGGACAGCGCCCAGGCCCAGAGTTCAAGCCCCAAGAAATTCTTATCTCTTAATTAACAAAAAGCCAGAAATGAAAGTTGACAAGTGGTAGAGTGCCAGCTTTTTTTTTCTGGTCAGATGTGGGTCTTGTACTCAGGGCCTGAGCTTTTTCACTCAGGGCTAGCACTCTACCACTTTAAACCACTTCCAGTTTTCTGGTGGCTAACTGGAGATAAGAGTCTCTTGAGGGCTGGGAAGGTGGCTCAGCGGTAAAGTGCTTGCCTCGCATGCATGAGGCCCTGGGCTCGACTCCTCAGCACCACATAAGCAGAAAAAGTCCGAAGAGGCACTGTGGCTCAAGTGGTAGAGCACTAGCCTTGAGCTAAAGAGCTGAGGGACAGCGCCCAGGCCCAGAATTCAGCCCCATGACTGGCCAAAAAAAAAAAGTCTCTTGAACTTTCTTGCCCAGGCTGGCTTGGAACCATGATCCTCAGATCTCAGCCTCCTGAATACCTAAGATTAAAGGCGTGAGCCACTGGTACCAAGCTCAGAGTACCAGCTTTGAGCAAAAATGCCAAGCAACAGTGTGAGGCCCAGGTCACAATACTGGCATGAGTGCACACATACACTCTCAACAAAGACACCTTCCCCTGGCGCCCAGGCAGGGACGAAGCATGAGTCGCCAAGGTTTGGTTCTACAGCTGGCTCCTGCTTTAGAGGACTGGCTTTTAGAGTAATCCATTTGTTCTCATGCCTCTGCACCCTTTGCTCAGGTCCCTGTCTGCCCCTCCCCCCCTACCCCTCCCCAGCTTTCTTGCTGGTGACAGGCCGCTCTGCTGGGTGAGCCTGGGCCACTCTGGTCAGCCTGCTGGATGCCTCCCCCCATGCCCGGATGGCCCCTCATCACTGGCATATTTTTCAGACTGAATCCTGAGGAAATCATCTACCACATTTGTTTTCCCGCTTTTTATCTTCTCCACCAGCCTGCGAGGAGGGGCTTCAGGGAGGTCAGGTCCTTGGAGTTTGATACAAGCAAGGCAGGCTCCGCAAACATTTGCTAGAAGTATTATTATTATTTATTTTTTGGAGCAGGACTCAGGCACCATCCCTGAGCTTTGTTTTGCTGAAGGCTAGTGCTCTACCAACTGAGTCACAGCTCCACTTCAGTTTTTTTTTTTGGTCAGGTTGTGGGGTCTGGTTTCTGGGCCTGGGCGCTGTCCTGTCCCTCAGCTCTTTAGCTCAAGGCTAGTGCTCTACCACTTGAGCCACAGCGCCACTGCCGGCTCTTTTCTTTTTGCTTATGTGGTGCTGAGGAATCGAACACAGTGCCTCATGCATGCAAGGCAAGCGCTCTACCACTGAGCTACCTTCCCAGCCAACCTCAGATTTTTTTGGTGGTTAACTGGAGGTAAGAGGCTTATGGACTTTCCTGCCTGGGCTAGCTTTGAACCAAAATCCTCAGATCTGAGCCTCTTGAGTAGCTAGGACTGCAGGCGTGAGCCACTGGTGCCTGGCGTGCTGGAAGTAGTTTGAAGGAGAGGACCTGCAGAACTGCAGAGGCTGGAGGATGGGACAGGAGCCGGTCCACCTGGATGCATGGCATAGTCATGCGTGGCGGCAGCAGAGCTCCACCTCCCTAGCCACTCTGCCTCAGCACTCACTCCTTTTAGCCCATCGGGGAGTCACTATGTCCCCACCTTCTGTACTTTGTCCCTGCATTAAGGGCTGCAGGCCGGTGCTGCTGGCCGGCTCACCACTGTGCCTGGCATCGTGGTACTCAGTGAACACAGGAGCAAGTGCTACCTTCAACTTTGCTCTAGTGGGAGAAACTAAATTCCCCAGTGAGGGAACTCTGCCTCCAGTAGGAGCAATGGTGTTCCTGTGGAAGCCACAGACAACTACTGCCAGGCTTAGCTTGATGCAAGGACAAGTAGAAACACTGGCAGGCCTCTGGCTCTCAGACACCCCACGCCACCCCTTCTGAATGGGGCACCTCCTCCTCACTGGGGACTGGGGCCGGGCAGGTGGTTTATCTCTGCTGTAGAGTGAGTTGCAGCACGCTCAGGTGTGTCTGGGCAGGGAATTAGGGGATAATCTGATGGCATCAGTTGGCGGGTGGGGACAGAAGCTGCAGGTCAGGGCCTGGAAGCCTTCCAAGGATGGATCAGGTGCCTGCCAGAGATCACCAGCTGCTCGGGCCCAACATAGTACACCATTTTTTTTTTTTTTTGGTGGGGGTAATGGGCTTGAACTCATGGATTGGATGCTGTCCCTTAGCTTTTTCACTCACAAATTTTTGCTGGCCTTAGAGATAAATGCAAACTGTCACAATCAGATCTCAGCCTCCCGAGTAGCTAGGATTGCAGGTGTCCGCCACTGGCACCAGCTACCTTTAGACTCCTGTGCCTACCTGGCTGTATCCCTTGGCTATGGAAACGGGACTGAGGACCCAGGAGAGAACCTGAGGGGCAAGAAGGTCTGCTGGCACAAGATGGCGCCCAAGGAACATGAGACATCTCAAACAGCTACACGAGCCCTGGGCCCCAAGTATACCTGGGTGAGTCTGGGCTGAACCCGGACATGGACAGGAATGTCAGGTGGGCTGGTGCAGCTCAGCAGTATACCACCAGTCCTGCTGACTTTAGACAGGTGTCTGTCACTGGATTACAAGCTCATTCTTATTTATTTTTTGCCCCTCCTAGGGGCTTGAACTCTGGGTCTAGGCACTCACTGTCCCTGAGCTTTTTTGCTCCCAGCTAGCACTCTACTACTTGAACCAGTTATAGCTTTTTGGTGATTAATTGGAGATAAGAGTTTCACAGACCTTCTTGCCCAGGCTGGCTTTCCTCAGATCCCAGCCTCCTGAGTAGCTAGGATTATAGGTGTAAGCCACGGCACTGTCTACACACACTCTCTCTTTCTTTCTTTCTTTCTTTGCTTTTTTTGTCGGTCATGGGGCTTGAACTCAGGGCCTGGTCAATGTCCCTAGGCTCTTTTGCTCAAGGGACTAGCACTCTATCACTTTTTTTATTTTGTCAGTTGTGGGGCTTTAACTCTGGGCTTGGGCACTATCCCTGTGCTCTTTAGCTCAAGGCGAGTGCTCTACCTCTTGAGCCACAGCGCCACTTCTGGTTTTCTAGTGATTAATTGGAAATAAGAGTCTCACAGACTTTTTCTGTGAGCCATTGGTGCCCAGCCACTCTACCACTTTGAGCCACAGCTCCACTTCTGGTTTTCCGGTGGTTAACTGGAGGTAAGAGTCTGATGAACTTTCCTGCCCAGGCTGGCTTCGAACCACAATCCTCAGATCTCAGCCTCTTGAGTAACTAGGATTACAGGCGTGAGCCACCAACGCCTGGCAACATTATTTTCTAATAAAGTTAGATACACATTTCCCTATGGCTGGCAACTCCCACTCTCAGATGCCTACCTGGGAGAAAGGATGCATCAGCATGCAGGAACCATAGGAAACTGGAGTGTTAGAGCACCTGCCTCGCTCTGAGTTCAAACCTCCGTACTGCCTAAATAAATTAATGAAATAAAAACAAACCGTACAAAATGAATTACAACATCTGAACTCTGAAGACTCTTCTATTAACAATTGCAGTCACGGGCTGGGAAGGTGGCTCAGTGGTAGAGCGCTTGCCTTGCATGCATGAGGCCCTTGGTTTGATTCCCCACCACCACATAAGCAAAAAGGAAAAAAGCCGGAAGTGGCGCTGTGGCTCAAGTGGTAGACCGCTAGCCTTGAGCTGAAGACCTGAGGGACAGCACCCAGGCCCAAAGTTCAGGCGCACGACTGGACCCCCAAAACAAAACAATTGTAAAGAACAGGGAAAACCAAGCTGGGCGCTGGTGGCTCACGCCTGTAATCCTAGCTACTCAGGAGGCTGAGATCTGAGGATCATGGTTCAAAGCCAGCCCGGGCAGGAGAGACTGTGAGACTCCTATCTCCAATAAACCACCAGAAAACCGGAAGTGGCGCTGTAGCTCAAGTGGTAGAGCGCTAGCCTTGAGCTGAAGAGCTGAGGGACAGTGCCCAGGCCCAGAGTTCAGGCACCATGACTTGCAAAAAAAAAAAAAAAAAAAGAAGTAGAGCCTGGTATCAGGTGGTGCCCTCTCAGTGCCAGGTGTAAGTGTGTAGCCAGTAAGTCCTCCAGCCACCCTGCCTGAGCACCTGCTCTGAAGTGAGGATCCAAGTGTCTACATTTTTCTATCCATCAGTGATGTTTTGTTGGGTGCCAATGACTCATGCTTGTAATCCTAGCTATTCAGGAAGCTGAGATCTGAGGATTGTCCTGGCAGGAAAGTCTGTGAGACTAATATTTCCAATTAACCACTAAACAAGCCAGAAATGGAGCTGTGGCTCAATGGCAGAGTGCTGGCCTTGAGCAAAAAATCCCAAGGACTGCACCCAAGCTGCAGGACCTAAACAAAACAAAACAAGTCTGGCTTTCATAGTTAGGATAACAGGCACCACGGAATGCAGCTTTCTGACACTCTTGAACTTTTCTTCAGGGACTACTTTGATCTTCTCAAACTCAGTCCCTCAATCAGTTAGGATTGCAGGTGTGAGCCACTGACTGGCACCTGGCTTTGTTCACTTTTTTTTTTTTTTTTTTGCAGCACTCAAGGCTTGCTGGGCATTGGTAGAATTACTTGAGCCGCCTCCAGCCCGTTTTAGTTGACAGTAAAAGGATGGCAGTTTGAAGCCCGCCAGGGGAGGAAAGTCTGTTGAGTCTTATCTCCAATTAACAACCAAAAAGACGGTAGTGGAGCTGTGGCTCAATGGTAGTGCATCACCGACCTTGAATGAAAAAGTTGAGACAGAGCCTAGGCCTTGAGTTCAAGCCCCAGTACTAGCTACACGTGCACACACACACACACACAGTATAATCCCCAAACTTTTCCTTCAATTCATTATCTCGTTTCCAAGCGACAGGGAAGGCAGATAGGCAGAGAGCTAGCCCCGTGCAGTGACTTCCAGACCATTGACCCTGGACCACGTGTGAACATTGGGGACCACGTGGGGACATTGGAAAAGGGCCGCCCCCTCGCTGAGAGACCATGTAAGAGATTCCTTTCCCAAGGACTCACTTTCAAAGCTCAGCTCATCCCGGCCCATCAGGTTTCGACCCCATTCTTACCAATTGCAAACTCCACCAGCGTTTCACTCTCCTCGGACAGCGAGTCGAGGAATAAATCCAGGACTTGCAGTTGCCGCAGGTACTGGTAGTTGTTGGGGTCATAGGCGAAGTTGGCAAGGTTGGCGAGGACCTGCTCCTTGGCGTCTGAGTGGGAAAGCGGCACTGGAGCCCGGCCCCGCGGGGGGCACGGGGGACCCCGCCCGCCCGCCCGCCCGCGGCCGCTCACCTCGGCTCTGCGTCTCCTGGAACTCCGTGACCAGCGCCTGCAGGTACCCCAGCCGCCCGACGTGGGGGTCGACCTTCGGCTTCTGGGCCATGGTCGGGGCGCGGAGAGCCCCGCCGGGGCCGGGCGGGAGGGCCCGGGACGCCCTCCCCTGAGCCCCCCGGGGCGGGCCCGGGCCGGCGCGGGGACGGGGGGCGGGCTCCCGCCCTGGGCTCGGATCCTGCAGCCCTGTGCGGCTGGGGATGGGGATGTGAGGGAATGCGGAGGATGCCGTCAGGGTCGGACTTCCAGATCAAAATCCCGACCCACGACGTCGCCGTCCGCCCGAGGAGGAGGAGCCGGAAGGAGCGCCCCGCCTTCCGCTCCGGGTTTCCTTTCTAGGATGCAAGCCGAAGCCGTGCTAGCCCCGCCCCCTGGAGGGCGGAAGCCGTGCGGGCCCCGCCCCCAGTCGACGTTGTTTGGCTACGGTTATGATGGCCACACCCCTAGATGACGGACGTCGTGCTGGCCCCGCCCCTAGAGGGCGGAAGGGGCGGGATTGGTGGGGAGGGAGGTGAGGGGCTGTCGCTCAGCTGCAAGAGGCGCTGAAACCCCAGACCCTTTCCAAGCAGGTTAGCGAGGTTGAATCCCCTGGCGCGGGGAACATCTGTGGGACGCTAAGGAACGTCGAGGAGTGGGAGGGGGCCCTGACGGAAGCCGTCCGGGTAGAAGCACCTCCAGCCCCTCACACGGCCGGGTGGGTCATCGAGTGGTCTCGGCCATGCGGCTCCCCTCTGGAATTCGGAGGTTGATTCCGTGCCTCCCACCATCGGACTTTTGTCCCTAGGGTTTGGCTGTTTTTTCCTGAAAAGCTGGGCGAGCCGACACTGCACCCTGGCAGGTATCTGGACCTGCTACTTCTAGCCAGATGTCGTGGGGTCAGTCCCTGGGAACAGCCGCTGTCCACCCAGACCTCCCGCGAGGGCCTTTGTATGGGGTGTGGAGCCCTGGAGGCCGAAGCCCTTTGGCCTGATTGCTTTGCACAACTTCTCAGTGAGGAAGATCTCATGGTCGTAGGGAACAAAGCACCAGAGAGGGAGGAGGCCTTATGCTGGCATCCTCTTAATGTAGAGGTGGAGGGTGGGCTAGAACCCCTGCCTAGCAAGTGCGAGGACCTGAGTTCAAACCCCAGTACTCCCAAAAAGTGTAGAAGTGGTGACCTTGTACCTTGAGCTCTAGGCCAGGTGTGAGAGTCTGGATTAAGGCATAGTGGCCTCTACACTCCAGCTGGACACAGGCCCCAAATAAAGTTTCCTATCCCTGTATACAGTCCCTGTTGAATGCATATCTTCTGGGATAGGAGTCTTGAGCTTAGTCTGGGTGTTTGAATCCCTCAGCTGCTCAGTGACCTCTCCAGACCATTGGTTTCAGTGAGGAGTCTGCAGCCTGGTGAAATGCATCTCAGCTCAAAATGCCTCACCCAGTGTCTTCACCTCTCAGCAGGCAGAGCAGCAAAAGATTTTTGGATGAGGAGCACAGGGATTGGGAGGAGGATGGGAGTAAGTGCCACCCCTCTAGAATTCCTCCTTAGAGTATTCTCAAGAATACTCAGCCATGGGATTGGGAAGGTGGCTCAGTGGTAGAGTGTTTGCTTTGCATGCATGAGGCCCTGGGTTCGATTCCTCAGCACCACATAACCAGAAAAAGCCAGAAGAAGTGGTGCTCTGGCTCAAGTGCTAGAGTGCTAGCCTTGAGCCGAAGAGCTGGGGGACAGTGCCCAGACCCAGAGTTCAGGCCCCATGACCAGCAAAAAAGAAAAAGAAAAAAGAAATCAGCCAAATGTGGGTCAGGTGGACCACTTCAGCTTCCTTTTTTGTATCTGCTTTTGCGTTGTTGTTGTTGTTGTTTTTGGTCCGGTTGTGGGGCCTGAACTCTAGGCCTGAGCACTGTCCCTCAGCTCTTCAGCTCAAGGCTAGTGCCCTACCACTTGAGCCACAGCACCACTTCCAGCTTTTTTCTTTTTGCTTATGTGGTGCTGAGGAATCGAACCCAGGGCCTCAGGCATGCAAGGCAAGCGCTCTACCACTGAGCCACCTTCCCAGCCCCATGCTTTTGCGTTGTTGTTGTTGTTGTTTGGGGGGTGGGTCAGTCCTGGGGCCTGATCTATGGGCCTGGGCGCTGCCCCTCAGCTCTTCAGCTCAAGGCTAGTGCTCTACTACTTAAGCCACAGCACCACTTCTGGCTTTTTCTGCTTATGTGGTGCTGAGGAGTAGAACCCAGGGCCTCATGCATGCAAAGCAAGCACTGTACCACCGAACCACCTTCCCAGCCCCATGATGGTTAGTAATTTGCCCAGAGTACTGCAGCAGGTTGTTTGACATCTTGGTACCCCAGGAGCGAGACTTTTGCTGCTGTGCTATCGCCTCTGGCCACAAGGTGGCACTAGAGCATCCTAAAAGACAGCCCTAGGGAGGGTTGTTTTCCAGAGAGCAGATGGAGGAGGAAGACTGTCATCAGGTCTTGAAAATAATACTATTTCTCGTGATAAGCTTTTCTTGCTGGAGTCTGGTTGAGCCTGAACCAGCAAACAAGGTCCTGAGCTGCTCCTGCCAAGCTGGGAGAAAGGAAAGGGGAGGGAAGAGATTTACTACAAGTCCTGTTTTCCCTGCTTGATGTGTCCAGTTTATGACCTGCTGCAGGGAAGGTTTGTGTGTATAATTCAAACAAGCCATTTTCTAGTCCCTGGGATACCCTGCTGAGACAAGTCTGGACTGTTGCCAGCCAGCCCTGAGTGTCCTCAGGGAGAGGCCCCTGCAAGGTATGTCAATAGCTCTGATCTCCAGAACACAAGCCCAGGCCCCAAAAGGGCAGAGGACAAGCAGGGGCTCAGCCAGCTACTGTTCTCAGTTGACAGTCACTTTCCCTTTTTTTCTTTTTTCGGTCAATCATGGTATTTGAACTCAGGACCTGGTGTTGTCCCTGAGCTCTTTTGCTCAAGGCTAATACTCTCACTTTGAGCCACAGCACCACTTCTGGCTTTCTGGTAGCTCATTGGAGATAAGAGTCTCATGGAGGGCTGGGAAGGTGGCTCAGTGGTAGAGCGCTTGCCTTGCATGCATGAGGCCCTGGGTTCGATTCCTCAGCACCACATAAGCAAAAAGAAAAAAGCTGGAAGAGGCACTGTGGCTCAAGTGGTAGAGCGCTAGCCTTGAGCTGAAGAGCTGAGGGACAGCGCCCAGGCCCAGAGTTCAGGCCCTACGACCGGACCCAAAAAAAAAAAAAAAAGAGTCTCATGGACTTTTCTGCCTGGGCTGGCCTTGAACCATGATCCTCAGGTCTCTGCTTCCTAAGTAGCTAAGATTACGGGCGTGAACCACCAGCACCTGGCTTTACTCTTTCCTTTTTTGATTTGACTTGTTTTATTATAAAATTTTATTTTGGAGGGGCGTACTGAGGATCGAACCTAAAGCCTTGTACATGGCAGGCAAGCCTCTCCCACCAAACTCCATTCCCAGTCCTCAGCAATTACATGGTAACAGCAAGGAAGAGGGGTCTCAGGAGGCCAGGCCAGGATCTGGGAAGGCTTCTGTTGCTTATGCAACAGTCTTTGTGTGTGTGTGTGTATGTGTGGTGTGTGTATGTGTGTGTGCACGCCTGTGTGTATAGGTATTGGGGCCTGAACCCAGGGCCTTGTATTCTACTTGAGCCACAGCTCTACTTCTGGCTTTTTGTTGTTGGTGGTGGTCTTGGGGCTTGAACTCTGGGCCTAAGTGCTGTCCCTCAGCTCTTCAGTTCAAGGCTAGTGCTCTACCACTTGAGCCACAGTGCCACTTCTGGTTTTCTGGTGGTTTATTTGAGATAAGAGTCTTGGAGACTTTCCTGCCCAGGCTGGCTTTGAACCAAGATCCCAGATCTCAGCCTCCTGAGTAGCTAGGATTACAGGCGTGAGCCATGGTGCCCGGCTTCATGACAGTCTTTCAGCTACCTAAGCAAGCCTTTCCCTCTGCCGGTCATTTGAATGTCTACTTCCCCCAACCCTATACTGGATACAAGGGGAGACTGGGGGAGACCCTGCTGAGTGTCAGGGAACCCCTCCGACTCCCCAACTCAGAGACCAAAGCTAGAGGCCTGCTCCAGGACAGCAGCAGGGGCTCCCTTCCCCGTAGTCTGCTCATGTGTCAGGGTGGGGGAACTCCACACCCCCTTTCATCTGTCCTCATTCTGTATCCAGGCCACCTCCTCAGCCTGGCCCTCCGTCCAGTCAACGTGAGGTCCGATCACTTGTGTGGAGGCAGACTTGCTGCCTCCAGGGTCATGACCAGTCACTTTGGAAGCGGACCAGAGAAGGTCAAAGGAGAGCTGATGTTGGAGGCATGCAAGTTGGACGTGAAGATCCAACGTGCTGTGTTGTAGTAGCAGCAGTGTGGAGCCAGCCAGGCTGAGCTGGCCTTGGCTGCCCCCAGCAGGACTCAGTGGAAGGAAGCCAGGAAGGGTCACTCCAGGATACTGCTTGGAAGGTCTTAGGCTGGCCTCAGGCTCACACGCTGGTCACGTACATGCTCTCCGTACACAGCTCCCTCTTGGGTCTGTCTTCCAGGATAAGACCTGGCACTGGAACAGTCTCTGAGGTGTCTCCCTTTGCCTTGTCTTGCTGGCCTTTTCTCTCCCTCTTTTGTAGGGAATAGAAGCTGCCACCCATGAAGAAGGCAGAGGTGATGAGAAAAAAGCTTGACATGTAGAAGACATAGCTGAAGTTGTCAGTGCTGTCCAGAACGAGCCCTGGGAACAGAGAATACAGCAGGCCATTGCCTGGTGCATCCCAGGATGCTCCCAAGGATGTCTGCTCCAGAGAGCAGAGATTTTATTTTATTTTCATTAAAAAAGTATTGGAAGCTGGGTGTTAGTGGCTCACGTCTGTAATCCTAGCTACTCAGGAGGCTGAGATCTGAGGATCACAGTTCAAAGCCAGTCCCAGCAGGAAAGTCTGTGAGACTCTTTTCTCTAATAAACCATCAGAAAATCAGAGTTGGCATCGTGGCTCAAAGTGGTAGAGTGCTCGTCTTGAGTGAAAAAGCTCAGGGACAGCGCCCAGGCCCTGAGTTCAAGCCCCACAATCACCACCACCAACAACAAAAGAATGGTGAGGTGGGTTGCTGTCACTGGGACTTGAACTCAGGGCCTTCAATTCTTCTTTTTTAAAAAAAAATTTGGCTCAAGACTAGCACTCTACCATTTGAGCCATACCACCTTCACTTCTGGCTTTTTGGTGTTAACTGGAGATCAGAGTCACGCTAAATTTTCTGCTCAGCTGGCTTTGAACCTCAGTCCTCAGACCTCAGCTTCCTAAGTAGCTAGGATTACAGGTGTGAGACAAAGCACCCCGCTTAACTTTCCATCATGTCACTCTTCCAGTAACTCCACTAAGTCATTCATCTGCCAGGCAGCCTCCTCTGTGGACCTCATCTTATAAATTTTGTGTTTCTCACTGTAGATCACCACCGTGGCTCCATTCCCCACTTCTTCGCTACAAGGTAAGCCCCCAAAAGCATCATTTTGGCCAGGCATATCCAGTGACTGTCCTGGGTGATAAAGGGTTAAGGCACCTGTTCTGTTTGGCATTTTGCAGCTGTCATTGTGGCTCAAAGAAGGAAATTATTTCCCTGGGCCTTCCAGGTAGGAAGTAGGAGAACAAATACACAAACCTCATATTTTTTCTTCCCTCCCTCCCTCCCTTTCTTCCTTTCTTCCTTTCTTTCTTTTTTTTTTTTTGTCAGTGGTGGGGCTTGAACTCTGGGCTTGGGCACTGTCCCTGCGCTCTTCAGCTCAAGGCAAATGCTCTACTGCTTGAGCCACAGTGCCACTTCCGGTTTTCTAATGGTTTATTGGAGATAAGAGTCTCACAGACTTTCCTGCCCAGGCTGGCTTTGAACCAAGATCCCAGATCTCAGCTCCTGAGTAGCTAGGATTACAGGCGTGAGCCACTGGCGCCTGGCTTCTTCCTTCCTTCCTTCCTTCCTTCCTTCCTTTCTTTCCTTTCTTTCCTTCCTTCCTTCCTTCCCTCCCTCCCTCTCTCCCTCCCTCCCTCCCTCCCTCCCTCCTTCCTTCCTTCCTTCCTTTCTTTCTTTCTTTCTTTCTTTCTTTCTTTCTTTTTTCTTTCTTCTTGTCGGGCATGGGGCCCGAAATCTGGGCCTGGGCGCTGTCCCTCTTCAGCTCAAGGCTAGCACTCTACCACTTGAGCCACAGTGCCACTTCTGGCTTTTTCTGCTTATGTGGGCCTCATGCATGCAAGGCAAGCACTCTACCACTGAGCCACCTTCCCAGCCCCTCTTCCTCTCTTTCCCAGTCCTGGGGCTTGAACTCAGGGCCTGGGTGCTATTCCTGAGCCTCTTTGTGCTCAAGGCTAGCACTCTACCACTTGAGCCAGAACCCCACTTTCAGCTTTTTCTGAGTGGTTTATTGGAAGATCAGAGTCACACTGAAGCTCCTTCACCGGCTGGCTTTAAACTGTGATCCTCAGAACTCAGCCTCCTGAGTAGCTAGGATTCTAGGTGTGAGCCACCAGTGCCTGGCCAGATTAGATTTCTTGTTGACCCAACCTCTGATTCTGGCCCCCACAAACCCCACCCTGGCCCACCCAGGATCTCACCAGCCAGCGGAGGGGAGATGAGGGATGTGAGGCTGCAGAGGACACTGACGAGGCCCAGGGCGCTGGGGAACCGGTCCATCGGGACGATGTCCATGAGGACTTGGAAGAGAAGGATTCCTATCCCGCACATAGACACGCTGTACACCAGGCAGTAGCCCACAAGCACCCAGAATTCAGCAGACACTGGACATATCAGGTTGGTGAGCCCATTGAGCAGGATCGCCAGGCTGAATAAGTACTTCCGGTAGTCAGCAAAGCACTTCCGACCTACCAACAGCCCAGCGATGGGCCGCAGGAAGATGTTGCAGAAGCCCACGATGGACATGAGCAGCGCAGCCCAATACTCCTCCATGCCGTACCGCATGGCATATGGCACCAGGAAGATGTGTGGCAGCGAGTAACCCAGGACCATCACCGTCACACCCACGGTGTACACGCAGTAGCCCAGGTTGTGCCGCAGGATGTCACAGGCCAGGTGGTACCGGAGGGTGGAGCCGCAGGTTGCCAGGCAACCATGGGATGGCGTCTTGGGGAGTGGGGGGAGATGGTCTCTGGTCTCAGGGGCTTCACTGGTGGCCACGGGCCTCATGATGGCGCCGCAGATGCAGCAGTGGAGGAAGGCCCCGCCGAAGACCAGGAAGGCACCCCTCCATCCCAGCTCCTCCAAGAGGTAGCGGGCTAGCAGTGGCCACAGGGTGACTCCTATGGAGATGCCTATGGAGGCCAGCGCGTTGGCCAGTGGCCGCCGGCGGACGAAGTACAAGCCCAGTGCGGTGACACAGCCCTGGAAGCTGAAGCTCATGCCCAGGCCTGTAGGGTGACAGTGGAAATCAGGGCAGGGGCATTCTGGGACCTTTTACCCACACTCAGATTGGGGGGGTGGGCAGGGAGTCTGAGGGTCAGGTTCCACGGCTGCCTCTGTTTTTTTGTTTTGTTTTGTTTTGTTTTTTGGGGGGGTCCGGTCGTGGGACCTGAACTCTGGGCCTGGGCGCTGTCCCTCAGCTCTTCAGCTCAAGGCTAGCGCTCTACCACTTGAGCCACAGTGCCACTGCCGGCTCTTTTCTTTTTGCTTATGTGGTGCTGAGGGATCGAACCCAGGGCCTCATGCATGCAAGGCAAGCGCTCTACCACTGAGCCACCTTCCCAGCCTAGGCCAGAGTATTTTTACGTCCACCTCCCGCTAAGCATCTTACCCCTCAGATCTGCCCGGCAAGCCTTGCCAGGGGCACCCACTTTCCCTTGGTACAACCCCAGATCACTGTTTTTTTTCAGTTGTGGGGCTTGAACTCCCTCATTCCCTCTGTGACAGCAGGACAGTTTCTCCTCCAGATTTTGCCCCCACCTCCATCTCCTGACCCCTGAACTGTCTGCTCTAGCTCAAGGCTTCTCCCTTCGAAGCCCAGATGGGGCCTTCCATCTTCCCCATAGGGGAGTCTCTTCATAGGTGAGGTCTGCCCCATCCTGCCAGTGGTTTACTCCTTAGTGTCTTAGTGCTGTCTCCTCCTTTTCTTCCTCCATTTTGGTGCCAGTACTGAGGCCTTGAACTCTTGCTGAGCTTCTTGGTTCAAGGCCAGCATGCTATCTCTTGAGCCACAGCCATACTTTCAGCTTTTTATGGTTAATTGGAGGTAAGAGCCTCACAGACTTTCCTGCCCTGGGTTGCCTTCAAGCCATGAGCTTCAGATCTCAGCCTCCTGAGTAGCTGGGATTACAGGTGCGAGACACCCGTGCCTGGCTCATTAGGAAGCCTTTCATCCAGCCTGCACCCAATCTCCTATTCATACCTCTCTGACCTACTGTTACTTTGTGGGAAAAGCAAGGTCCCTAGCTGGGAGGTAATGGAAACCTGGAGGGGCGGGGCCTAGCGGGAGCTCTTTAGGTCACTGAAGGAGGTGCCCTCCCTCGGGAAATAGGACTCCAACCTCTTCTGACCTTCAGATGAGTAGTTTTGCTCTACTCTGCTCCAAGCACAAAGTGCTCCTCACCCCACAGCCCTAAGCTACCAGGAACAATGAATCATGGCCTGAACCTTGCCAACTATGAGCTTTCTTTCTTTGTAAGTGGATTACCTCAGGAATTCACTGCACTAAATGAAAGCTGACTAATACACTACTCAACTGTCCCTTTCTCAAACTTCTCCACCTCTGCTGTGTTTCCTAGGTGTCCCCGCTAGTCTATTTCTTGTCTCGTTTTATGCCTGCCCATCTCCCCTACTGCCTGGTCTTCTCACGAACTGTCGGGATGGGAAGTATTTAAGCTTTTTTGGGGGCCAGTTCTGGGGCTTGAACTCAAGGCCCCGGCACTCTGCCCAAGCTAAAAGGGGAGCATATTCCTTAAGCCCACAGTACCATTTCTGGCCTTTTCTGAGTAATTTATTGGAGACAAGAGTTTCATGGACTTTTTTGCCTGCTCTGGGTTTGAACCACGATCCTCAGATCTCAGCCTCCTGAGACAGCCCCCCCCCCCCCCCCCCGGCTTAAGCATTGCTATTTATCTGACAATTATCCGTCTCTCTGGCTGGACTGTAAGCAGTTCTGGGAGGTGAGCAGGCTTGCTGGCCCTGTCCACTCCTGCCACCATTTTCGATGGACTGACAGTCACCTGTGATCAATCCCGCTGTGAGGAAGAGCTGGACGAGGGTCCTGGAGAAGGAGCTGGCCACCATGCCCAGGCTGGACAGCATACCCCCTAACATCATAGTCACTCGGCAGCCGAAGCGCCCCACCAGGATGCTGCACAGGGGTCCTGTGGAGAGCCAAGGGTCAGCAGGCGACACCCAGTGAGGGACTGGGGAGAGGGGTCCCAGCAGGAACTAATAGGTGGCTTCAAGGACACAAGCCCTGGATCCTGCCAGACTGATTCCATCCTGTCATAGTTGTGGTCTAAGACTTAAGGGTTCTCTCTGCCTCAGTTTCTTCAGAGTAAGGGGGAGTCAGTCTAGGTGATGTTGAACCTGACAAGGAACCCCATGGGCACACCAAGGCCCGGCACTGCACACGGCTGGTTCCTGACTTTTGTGCATACCCTTCAGTTGGGGTCTGTCTCATAGTGCGCCTCTCAGGCATCTCAGCCATAGAGAATACTTCTGCCCTCTTCTGTGCTGACCGAAGTCCTGTGTAGCACGCACCACTCCCCTCTCTCTGCCTGCCAGCCTTGCACATTTAGGTGGCTCCTGAGCCACCTTGTACTTGCTTACTCTGGCTTCTGGAGAGAATCAGGCCGGGTACCTTCTCCTCTCCCATCACTTCCGGCTACCACCAAAATCCACATCTAGGACTAGGAGTGTAGTTCAACAGCAGTTCAGCCAGCAGCAAAGGCTCATGCCTGCAATCTTACGTAGGTACTTAGGAGGTTGAGATATGAGGATCAACACTCCAAGCCAGACTGGGCAGGAAAGTCTGTGAGTCTTATCTCCAGCTAACCACCAAAAACAAAACAAAACAAAAAAACACCAAAAAACAAAAAACGGTGCGGGGAGGTCTGGGAAGGTGGCTCAGTGGTAGAGCGCTTGCCTTGCATTCATGAGGCCCTGGGTTCGATTCCTCAGAAAAAGCTGGAAGTGGCTGCTGTGGCTCAAGTGGTAGAGCGCTGAGGGACAGCACCCAGGTTCAGAGTTCAGGCCCCACGACTGACAAAAAAAAAAACAAAGCTGAAGTGGATCTGTGGCTCAAATGGTAGAGCAAGCTCAGGGACAGTGCCAGACCCTGAGTTAAAGTGAGGAGGAGGAGGAGGAGGAGGAGGAGGAGGAGGAGGAAGAGGAGGAGGAGGGGGAGGAGGAGGAAGAGGAGGAGGAGGGGGAGGAGGAGGAGGAGGAGGAGGAGGAGGAGCCGGGCACCAGTGGCTCACGCCTGTAATTCTAGCTACTCAGGGGGCTGAGATCTGAGGATCGCGGTTCAAAGCTAGCCCAGGCAGGAAAGTCGGCGAGACTCCCCAATTAACCTCCAGAAAATCGGAAGTGGAACTGTGGCCCCAAGTTGTAGAGCACTAGTCTACAACGAAAGAGCTCAGGGACAGCACCTAGGATCTGAGTTCAAGCTCCATGACTGGAAAAACAAAAACAAAAACCCCACAAAACAACAGAAAAACAAAAACCCTCAAAATTCCACCTCTTCTTCAAGTCCCCCACTCCAGACATTTGTCTCTATGTGGAGAGGGACCTGCTTCTAACCCTGACTGCTTGCTTTCTAGCCTGACAGGTAGAAAACTAGCCAGTCTGGTTGTCAGCTCCAAGACACCTTGCAGAGAGCCCCCAGCACACACGAGTTTCCCCGAGTAACTCTCCCGGAGTGCAACTGGAGGGCCAGACAACGCGGGCCTGTGCTTGTGCAGGTGTGCGCATGCGTGCCGGTGGTAGAAAGAGGGTGTGTTGTGTGAGCCAGTGTCAGTTTGAGGGCAACAGAGGGAGTGAGCAGCCCATCCTCAAAGACGACCAAGCAGGAGCCGAGGGATAGACAGGGCTGTAGAGAGGCTCTGACCACTGGTGCTGAGTCTTGCCTAACTCAGGAAAGGTGACCTTGGGGCAAATCCCTGAGTCGTTGGCATGGGGTGGGGCCCTGGAGGTGGCTGTTCCTTCTGCCAGGGGCATGGCTCCTGCCAGGAACCTCTCCTCAGCCACGGGCAAGCCTTGCAATTTGGGATTGCTTTCTTCATCTCTAAGATGTGTGTGTGTGGCGGGGGTGGGGGGGTGGGGGGTGGGGAGGTGGGGGGGTGGGGAGGGGAGCCTGGGGAAAGGACTGAAAGTTTCAATGGTATGCTGAATGAGCATGGACGAAAAGGCGGGTGTCTGAGAAAGGGACAGAAAACCCGACAGAGAGGACTCTCACACCAACAGAGACAGGGCGCCTGCTCTGGGGGGGGAGCAGCGGGTCCCCGACTGATGCCCCAGGTCCCTAGCCCCTGCCCCAGGTCCCTTTGGCTGCATGAGAAACAACGGTCAGAGATTCCCATTGCTTAGTCCAGCCCCGCAGGCCAAGAGGTCACGTGTTCAGGGCCAGACCTGGCTTTACCCCTCACATTTTGCCCAGGCTGATCAAGGATCATCCTGACAGGTCAATCTCTCCTGGTCTCCTTCCTCCAAATACCTAGAAAGAACACCCTAGAATAATCATCAGGGTGCTGGTGCCAGGTGGAGGGAGTGGCCAGGCAGAGAACTAGGGAGCTGGGGTTTGGAGGTGGGCAAGCCCTGAAGTTGGGTTCGTTTAGCTGCTGTTGACCAAGAGCCTCCCCTGAAGTCACTGTCTCTGCCATCTCCCCAGAGAGCTCCCGGGAACTAGGGTTCCCATGCAGAACTCTCAGGGCAGCTCCTAACCTGCCCCCAGCAATGTGGGGGGGCAGGGAGGAAAAGGGGAGACAGTCACATTCCTGGTCACATGCCAACCTGGTCACAGGCCTCTGGGGCCAGAGGTGAGAGCAAGGAGAATGGGAAGATGGAGGCTGCCTCTTCCCAGGCTCTAGCCTCAGTAGGCTCCCCTCTGTAAGAAACCCCCGGGAAAGGTGGGGTGCAGGCCTTGTCCCTCTTCTTCCTGAGGCCCTGTTCCCATACTTAAGCCCCGATAAGGGTCTTTAAGATTCTCTTCAGTCAGGCACCGGTGGGTTACGACTATAATCCTAGCTACTCAGGAGGCTGAGATCTGAGGATCGCCATTCAAAGCCAGCCCCGGGCAGAAAAGTCTGTGAGACTCTTATCTCCAGTGAACCACCAGAACACCAGATAGTGGCACTGGAGCTCCAGTGGTAGAGTGCTCATCGTGAGCTGAAGAGATCAGAGACAGCGCCCAGGCCCAGGATTCAAGCCCCACGACCGACCCCCCAAAAAAGATACTCATCATTCATAGCTTGTGTATTTCCCAGTTCACATCCCACAGAAGCAGGGTGGGACGCAGGGCGTTACCTCCAGCCTGCGGGGGAAGAAAGGACATTGGGAGATGGCCCAGTTGGAAAGCAGCAGGTCCTGGATCTGCTGGCCCAAGTCCCAGCTTTTTCCTGTTTGGCACTGGGATGGATCCTCCATCCCACTGAAAGGACTCTCTAGGAATTTGCCTGGCTTTCCACCCACCTCAGTACCTCTGCCCTGTCCTCATCCCAGGACAGCCTCTTTTCCCTGCCAGTGGGGGTGAGGGGTGGGGCGGTGGGTGGCCTTGCTGAGATCCAGTATATCTCAGGAGTATGTCCAAGAGGCAAAGCCTGGGATGGCAGACAGTGAGAGAGAGAGAGACAACAGATAGACAGAGACAGAGACAGAGAGACAGAGAGAGCACCAGGAGGCTGGCACATTGTGGCCTCTTCCCCCCCCCCCAGCCCTCACCCCCTTCCCACACTGCTCACCCCCAGCGTGGAGCATGGACCCCATAATGGAGGGGAGCCAGGAGGTCTCGCTGTTGCTGGCCTGGAAGTCATGCTGCAGCTCAGTGAAGAACACGCCGATGCACATAGGGAAAGCCAGGGTGAGGGCCTGGGTCACCAGGGAAGCCAGCAGTACCACCCAGGCCCATCTGCCATCTGCACGTTCCAGGGCCTGGGGCATCCTCTGCTGCCACTGCCTGGGAAGGGAAGAGAACGGAGCTTGGGCTTGGCGGGCTGCCAAGCTCCCCTGCCACCTCTCCTGCCTGGGTGACTGACACTGTCTCCTCCTCATACCCCAGCACCTGCTAGCACCGAGGGCACCGCCCCCTGGGAAGTGGCCAGAGACCCACGCATCAGCCTGGCATCTCCTTTCACCCACTTCTCAGAGTCAGCCTGGGAGGAGGGGACAGGAAGGGCAGCAGGGGTGGGGCAGGCAGTGACCAATGGCGCCAGGCAGGTAGGAGGAGCTCCTTCCGGTGGCTACATCACCTGGCACTGGGCAGGTAGGACCACTCCACTACCTGTACACCTCCCTTGGGGGGGGGCTGCTGAGGCCCCATTGGCCCCAAGGGTATCCATGGATACAGTCCTACACCTTGCCAGCCAGGCTTCCTGCATACCAAGAGACTTTCTTTCCTCCATGCCGCGCCAACAGCCTAAGTCCACAATCAGCGTTGCTGAGTACAGCCAAAGAACAAACACACAACAGCTTAACAAGGGCCCGTGACCTGCAGCCTTCAGAGATAAGCCACCAGGGTTCATCTAGAAGCCCTCTGGAGTCTATCATAACCTTCCTCTCACTCAGGGAGTTCAAAGTCGAATTCCATAGGCGGATATTGACCTGCCACCTGCCGAGGCCTCGCCAGGCCCCTCCCAACCACAGAACCACCAGGCAGAGATGCCAAGCACCGGAGCAGGTGCACAAGTTCCCAGGAAGATGCAGAGATGCACAGACCCATGGACAACTCTGTGATATGCACAGGCACATACACACAGCCACACACTGCGCAGGCCTGTACGCACACACACACACACACACACACACAGAGCCATGCAGCTACACACACAAATAGTTACACACTCTCACCTTATATATATGGACCCACTTTCACATTCCCTGCTCCTTCCCTCTTTTTTTTTTTTTTTCGGTCCGGTCGTGGGGCCTGAACTCTGGGCCTGGGCGCTGTCCCTCAGCTCTCCAGCTCAAGGCTAGCGCTCTACCACTTGAGCCACAGCGCCACTTCCGGCTTTTTGCTTATGTGGTGCTGAGGAATCGAACCCAGGGCCTCGAGCATGCAAGGCAAGCGCTCTACCACTGAGCCACCTTCCCAGCCCTCCTTCCCTCTTTTTCTTTCTTTTTTCTTTTTTGTCCATTGTGGGGCTTGAACTCTGGGCCTGGGCGCTGTCCCTCAACTCTTCAGCTCAAGGCTAACGCTCTACCGCTTGGCCACAGCGCCACTTCTGGTTTTCTGGTGGTTTATTGGAGATAAGAGTCTCACAGGTGTTCCTGCCTGGGCTGGCTTTGAACCCTGATCCTCTGATCTCAGCCTCCTGAGTAGCTAGCATTACAGGTGTGCGCCACGGGCGTCCAAGCAATAATTATTGATTTTTTTTGGTCGGTCGTGGGGCCTGAATTCTGGGCCTGGGCGCTATCCCTTAGCTCTTCAGCTCAAGACTAACGCTCTACCACTTGAGCCACAGTGCCACTTCTGGCTTTTTCTGCTTATGTGGTGCTGAGGAATCGAACCCAGGGCCTCACGCGTGCAAGGCAAGCACTCTACTACTGAGCCACCTTCCTAGCCTCTTTTCCTTTCTTGTGGCACTGGAGCTTGAACTCAGGGCCTTTTATACACATTTTCTCTGTCCCTCTCAGATTTCTTGTCTTGTTCATAGCTAGTATTCTACCACTTGAGCCACACCTCCCATTAATTGGAAATAGTCTCACAAACATTTTTTTGCCTTAAACAGCCTTCTCCAGATCTCAGCCTCCTGAGTAACTAGGATGACAGGTGTGAGCCACCACACCAGCCTACCTGCTTCCCTTCCCTTCCCTTCTCTTCTCTCCCTTCTTCCCTTCTCCCTTTTTTCTTCCCTTTCTTCCTTCCCTTTCTCCCTTCCTTCCTTTCCTCCCTCCCTCTCTCCCTCTCTTTCCTTTCTTTCTTTCTGTCTTCTTTCTCCCTCTCTTTCCTTTCTCTCTCTCTTTCTTTTTCTTTCTTTCTTTCTCCCTCTCTTTCCTTTCTCTCTCTCTTTCTTTTTCTTTCTTTCTCTTTCTCTCTTTCTTTGTTTCTCTTTCTCTCTCTTTCTTTCTTTCTGGAGCTTGAACTCAGGGCCTAGGCACTGTCCCTGAGGTTCATTTGTTCAAGGCTAGCACTCTACCACTTGAGGCATAGGGCCATTTCTAGCTTTTTCTGTTTATGTGGTACTGAGGAATCAAATCATTCTACCACTAAGCCACATTCCCAGCCCTCTTTCTGTTTCTTAATGTAGGTTCTAGCTATGTTTCTCAGGTTAGTCTAGAACTCACAGGCTCAAGCAATCCTCCACCTCAGCTAGAACTTCAGGTGTGCACTACTGTGCCCTGCTGATCCCAGAGTTTAAAAAGAACAACCTATAGGGCATATTCTACCCTGCCCCAGATTAGTCCAGTCCATCTTGTACAGAGAATCTGTTTTTCCTGAGTCACTTTACGTTAGGTAACAATGATGAGGTAGAATGACTGGTAACTTTTACCTTCAACTAACTGTCCTGTACTGGCTGATAAGTGACTTATTCACACTAATAAAAAAAAAAGCCAAACACAAAACACCTGGGAGCTCATTGGACAGAGACCCATGGATGACACAACTCCCTCACTAAAGACACATCTGAGGAGAGACAGGACAGAGTGTAGTATTGAACCCCCACTGTCACTTTGTTCATGACAAAGTATACACCTCTGCCCTAGAGATTGCCAGGCATGAACTTCCTTCTCTGTGTGAGTGTGTGTGTGTGCACGTGTGTGTGTGTGTGTGTGTGTGTACATGTGCCAATACTGAACTCAGGGCTTGGATGCTGTCATTTAGCTTTTGCCCTCAAGATCGGCACTCTACTACACTTAGAATCCTAGCTACTCAAGAGACCTGAGACCTGAGGATATTGGTTCAAGACCAGCTTGGGCAGGAAAGTCTGTGTGGCTCTTATCTCTAATTAACCATCAAAAAGCTGGAAGTGGAGCTGTGATTTGAGTGAAAAAGTGAAAGGACAGCATGCAGGCCCCGAGTTCAAGTCCTAGAAGCAGTGCGTGTGAGCACGCACACACACACACACACACAGATTAGCATGGAATCAACAACTTGTGATTGCTGTGGTCAAGACTTCAAGTGAAGTCAGGAGAACTCAGGGAAGCAAAGCCGATGAAACCACTGTATGTTTTGTGAATCTACTCATTTTCCATATACACCAACACTGTGGAAAGACAGGCTGTCCTGCATGGACATTTAAACATGGAGATGTAAAACTGGCTCTGCTTCTTCCAGGAGTTCTGTTCTTGCAGCACATGGAAAAACCATGGTTGCTGCTGGACTCTCCCTCCCTGAGCTCCAGTGTCAAGTTCCCACGTCCTTCTCTGGTCTGTTGGTCTGTCTGTCCTCCTCAGCCTCTCCTGCTCCCCGGCATTCACATTGGCTGCTTTCCCAGGGCCCACCAGCCTGTCCAGTTTCCTCCTGTCCTTCCCAGCTCCTTCTCTCCACTGACCTGCCCTGATTCCTACTTGTTCTTCCTCATCCTGCCCCATGGGGAAGAAGTCTCATTCATTCATTCATTCATCCATTCATTCATTCAATTATTGTACCAGTACTAGGGCTTGAACTCAGGGCTTTGCACTTCCACTTGGCTTTTATGCTCAAGGCTTTACCATTTGAGCCATACCTCTCCTTTGGTTTCTTGGTGGCTCATTGGAGATAAGAGTTTTATGGATTTTTTTGCCTAGGATGGCACTGAACTACAACTAAGATTACAGGCATGATTTTTTTTTTGGGGGGGGGAAGGTTAGTGGTGGGGGTTGAACTTGGCCTGGGCACTGTCCCGCAGCTCTTTAGCTCAAGGCTAGCGCTCTACCACTTGAGCCACAGCACCACTTCCAGTTTTCTGAGTGGTTTATTGGAGATAAGAGTCTCACAGACTTTCCTGCCCGGGCTGGCTTTGAACTGGGATCCTTAGATCTCAGCCTCCTGAGTAGCTAGGATTACAGATGTGAGCCACTGGCGCTGGGCTGTCCTTCAGGTCTTTTGCTCAAGGCTAGTGCTCTAGCACTTTGAGCCACAGTACCACTTACAGTTTTTTGGTGGTTAATTAGAGATGAGAATCTCACTGACTTTATTTTGTCAGTCATGGGGCCTGAACTTTGGGCCTCAGCTCTTCAGCTCAAGGCTAGCACTTTACCACTTGAGCCACAGCACCACTCCCAGCTTTTTCTGCTTATGTGGTGCTGAGAAATCGAACCCAGGGTCTCATGCATGCAAGGCAAGCTCTCTACCACTGAGCCACCTTCCCAGTCCTCTCACTGACTTTCTTACCCTGGCTAGTTTTGCAGCGTGATCCTCAGATCTTAGGCTTTCTGAGTAGCTAGGACCATAGGCGTGAACCACTAGTCCCTGGCTGCAGCCGTTTTTCAGGGGCTTTTTGCCTTGCTTCCTGTGACCTTTACTCTGTGCCTAACCTTCCCTGAAGCTTTCAACAGGTGAGGCTGGTTCTACACTTCCCAGGTCTCCTGCCTGGGACCAGGAAGCCAAGGACCTCCAGGACAAATGAGTCAGGAAACCCCGTGACCTCTGCTGTCTTCACACACCGGGAGCCTTGCTCGGAAGGTCTCAGGACATGCCCAGCCCTCCCCAGGGAGCGCACTGCCACCCCGCATCCCCAGTGACTCCACTCTTCCTGCGAAACTGCCCCTCCTACATTTCCAGAGCTAGCGCATCCACCCCCCCCCCCACATTTATATTGATGGTGTCTTCCTGTCCCTCCCACAACCAGTTGGCTCCTCTTTCTCAGTTTACTTGCTGCAATTCTGTAATTCATAGCCAGAGAAGTGACATTGGTCCTTCACAATTTAGCTCTTGCAGCACTCCTAGGAAACCTGTCCCAACCCCCACTCCAGACTGGGCTATATTATCATCATCATCATTATTATTAATCTCCTCATGGTGGCTTTCACACCGCATTGGAGAGAATCCTTCCTTTGTTTACCCTCACCCTCACCCTTCCTACCCACTTCTGCCTGCAGCAGGAGAGCAGGGATGTGTTTA